GGAAAAAAACATTTTGATATTAAATTATCCCCTGAACAAAATCCAAAAGACATGCTGTATGCTGAAAAACATTTTAGGTAAACAAATAAATATGATTACATAAACAAAATTGCTGGATGTTATCTGTAGATATATTGTAAGACAAACTGGCAACTAATATCATTCCCTCTATCTATAATCATGCTTATAGCATTCCCAGATCAAAATTAATTGAATCAAGGCTTTTGTCAAAATTACCCAGATCTGACATACTGTATAATATCATACTGTTTGGCTTAATAATTGAAACAAAATAATTGAGTCATTGTCATAGAAAAGTGTGTAGTGAATTTATACTTTTGTGAATTGGGTTGCTGTGTCATGAAAGTTTTAATTCATACTTTTATTTACTTGGGAAAAAATACATTTCCATGAAATGGAAATTGAAAGGTTTGACGGCCGGTGGTTTTACTACAATTTATTGGGCTACTTTCTTTGCAGAGCTTGAATGCAAAAGATCAAGCTGTATTACATTTTTTATTGCAGCCTTTTATGCAGTTAAAAAGAATCACTGGCTGTACTGTGCAATAAAAAAGTTATAGAATACTGAATTTGGACATGTTGTGGAAAAGTGACATGTTATTGTAATACTAATATAGTTTTTCAGTTAAGAATAATATTCTGAAGGAGGCATTACAAAGAAAAAAATTAAACTTGGGCTTTTTCTTAGTTACCCTTTTGCACATTTTAAGCTACACTGTGCACTTGCTCCTAAAATCTGTAGTGCTTTTTGAAGATTTTTGTATAGCCTCTGAAGATCCCATATAACTCATGTTTGAATATGCATAGGTTGCAGTTTTATTTTTTATTACTCTAAATTTAATACAAAGAGTGGATATGTGGAACTGCTGGCCAGTCTGTGTATCTACAGTCACGTAAATATTGTTCAAAGTTCTCTGTGATTATAATTTTCAACGTAACACCATATATATTTGTAAAAGGTGCTTCGTGAACAAATTCCATAGCACAACTTTCCAGGTTTGCACTTAGAGTTCTCAGGTTTTTCCTTGACTGCAACACTTGAAAAATAATTACACCTCTATGGAAGCTAAAACAAACAGCACAATTTATATTTTTTTAAAGCCAGGTTGAAGTGTGTGTTCCTTTTTTCCATGAATGAAAAAAAAAATGTGATGCTAAAATGAAACAAAATGACAGCACTTACTGAAATGTTACTGTTGAGGAAGAATTGGTATAAGCGTTGTTTTCTTCATTATGTCTTGACAATCTTGACTTTACTTAATGCTTTGTTGCATTAACATGCTGCTAAGAAACAGCTTATAATTAAGAAGTCTGTCTGTATTCGTTAATGAATAAGAGTTTATTTTCTTATATATATATATTTTTTGTGTTTTGCTTTCAAAAATCCTGAGCAATAATTTGATAAACTGTGGCCTAAGTGCTCACCATCTGTAACAACGCAAGGCGTAGATAAACGCCAAACTATGGAATACACGTTCTGAAGCACAGCGAATAAGTGAGGTTAATTCAGTAGCTTTTCGCCAGTTTGATCTACTTTTGTATGTGAGAGCCCAGTTACTTTCCCAGACTAACTGAGACAACTCATGCACAAGAAAATGTTGCTGGTTTACACTGTTCGTGAACAACATTCAACAAAAGCACTTGACAAATCATATTTTGCCAAGCTTTGTGCGCTGCTTAACAAACGTTAACTTTAATTGTGGTTCATATTCTCAGTTGCATTGCAGTGAGTTCTTTTTTCTAATTTATACTACAGGCTCCCATTTCCCTTTTCCTGCGCCCTTAAAACAGAGCTGTTCAGCTCCTTTGATTTTAACTTGCTGAAAAAAAAAACATATTTACATAAAAACGTCAATGCTTGCTTTCCAAAGACAGAACCTGTTTCATGCTGTCAAGTGTTTACAATGTTTTTCGAGGTTTGTAAAGGTTTGGGTAGGACTGTGGAGAGTAATGTGTAGAGGGCAAGAGTCATGTAGTAAAAGGCTTGACCTGGGCACAATATACTCAGTACGGCAAACAGGACTGACCTTCTGTTGGGGAGGAATATTATTGTGCTGTTGGGGCAGAGGATGGAATGGCGACACTGAGGAATGAAAGGGTGGAGGATGCCGAGTTTTCAGAGGAACTGTGGTGAGAGAATTGCACTAGCAGAGTGTTGCACTGGAGATAAAAAGAAAAATACAATGCAAAAAATTGATTGAACTTTTTTTGTGTCAGCAATAAATGGATTTTGCAAGCAGATGTATGTTTTAAAAGCTGTCCAATAAATATGACACTTTTTTCCAGTAGTACTGTTTGTGTTTATTTTTTTTCCTTACAACAATGTGTCGAAACATCTACCTTGTACATTGTCTTATGCCTCTTGACCAGTTAAGATGTCTCAATCAGTCATGATGTTGAAGTATTACTGGCTACCCAAAGCCACAGACCACAGAACTATGAACTTTTGGGGAGAAATCTTATTCTGTTTCCCAGTCAGCATTCATAGGAATGAAATTATGACTACTATTTTTTTAGACCCATTCAAAAGATTTCAAAGATTAAAAAACTTCAAAATGGTTTTAGATATTAATTTTAGAGTTCAGTCATTAGTAATTCAACTGTAGTACAAAATAAATGTTATATCCAAACGCACAGGATGCTCAAACATGGCCTATCCCAAAAACTGATACTCCTCCCTAGTATATTTCTTAATAATGGTTAACAGATCTACTGTATAGACAGATATATGACAGATATAGAGAGACCTTTTAAATTTAAAAGTTCTGAAATAAACTTAACAGCAAGCAAATCTAACACTGTAAAATGAAAGGAAGGTTTGATCATTGTGGGCAGCCTTCTGATTCTTTGTGGATTGAGGTGCCTAATGGTTGAAATCTCACCCTTCTTGTGCTAAAGTTCAGACTGCACATTTGTGGGTTTGTTGTTGCAGTAACCATGGAACTGGTATGCCTGACTAGCACCTTCTAGCTCACAGCTGCTAGCCCAACACTCCTGAAGAATCTCTATTAATGCCCAGTTGTTGCACTCAAATGCCTTCAGCCAACAAGTGTAGTTTCTAATGTCATGCATGCTATACAAGTAGAAGCAAGTCATTTATTACTGCTACAGGGGAGGACCAAATGTGTTGCCATCCATGTTCCGACTGAAAACATTCAATCCAAGCATGAATTATTAGCAATGAAAATGTTCCATGTTTGCCATTCCTGTTTCATTTACTGTAGGTACAGCTCTACAAAGCTGCACTAAGATTTAGAATGACAAATCTACTTGACATTGATCTATTTAATATTGGAATTCAAGAAAAAGTCTTAATGTTTTTAAATAAGAAAGAAATAGTCTTTAATTTACTAAAGCCACTAGCCAAGGATCAGTTATTAGACAATGGATTGAAGATACTGTAGAAATACATGTTCGTAAAACACCTGTGGTGTGGAGTCCCTGACATCACAATGAGTGACACACTGAGTTTCTGCTGTACCTAAATTTATAAGAAGTCAATATGCATGACAGACCTAAGAGGAGACCTAGAAAAAAAGGTTACATCTGATGCCTGGACTTATATTTCATTAGTATTTGTTTGAGGCATCAGACTTTCATATGTACTGTACTTAAAACCCTTGAGCAGAACCCCCCCCCAGTAAAACAACTACTGAATTTTGCTTTTGCCCTCCTGGGCAAGTACATAAGCAAGTTCACATAAAAGCATTTGTCACATGATCTTAAAGTATCTTAAAGTAAAATTCAGTCTAGATTATTTAATATTCAAACCATCAGCATTTTGTGAAAACTGACAAAGTTATGCTAAAATGGCAAGATATAATCTCTGGTTCACTATACTGTAGATGAAAAGGGAAATTTAATCAAGTTATGACAGGCTCTAGATGTTTGAGAAATGATGTTTCAACAAGTTTGGTTATGACACACAGCCCTGAGACTGTATCAGAGCATGTCTGGGCAGTTAGACAGTTCCTATTCTAACCACTGTGTAGTGAAAACTGGGTGATTGCATCAGTATATCAGCAATTGTATTTGGCTATGAAAGAAAAAAAAATGTATTTAGCAATCCTAACATTTAAACAACACATTTGCACTTTGAAAAACCTGATAAATATTATAGATATAAATGATAAATACTATATATACAGTATTTATTATACTACACAATATACTGTACATGTTAAGAAAATGTATCATGGGAATATATAATATACAGTATAGCCAAAATGAGCCAATTATAATTATAATGAGGCAGCCCTGGGTCTTAAAATCTTGCCACTTAAGATAAATTAAGTAGTGACATATTTATAGTACTTTTTTATCTTGCTGTATACTCTCAGATTATTAGAGATTATCACCCACACGTGTCATACCTAATAAAAAGCTAAAGCTGCATACATCACAAGGACTGGTGATTCAGAAATACTAAAAAATACAGTTCCCAAGAAAATGTCACTTTAAATACAGTACTGCTCCCTCCATTTGTCATTGTAATGTTCAATAAGCATACTGAAACCCAAGTTATTTAGCTCACTTTATTTGAGTGAGGCTGGGAATGGGATAAAATTGCCACTCACCATCAAATTAATTCTGGAAAAGATTCTTGACCTTGTTGCTTTCAAAAATATCATATTTTAGGACCTGTATTACTCCTTGATTTTAGTTTGGATCTCATGTGGCAATTGGTCTACTTGACTTGGAAATACGAAAAGTCCTTGCAAATTTGGGAAACTGAAAAAAATGAGTCTTTTAATTCTAGTAGAATAAAAAGCATTGGTATTTGCTTAGTTACCAGGATAATACATTTTCTTAAGAAAAATCCTTAAAATGTATCTTCAAAACCCTGAAATAGTCTTTATCCTTCAAAAATATCTAAAATATCTAAACATAGGGCCTCAAGTGAGGAGGAATAATAAAGTAATAAATGCTGTACTTTCTTAACATGGCAGATACAGTATTTGAATAAATATAATGAGAAGTCCTTAAATACTTTTTTATTTCTGTGTAGTATTGTACTGTAGTTCTCATTACACAGAAAGTAAGTTTTACAATAGGAGTCTCAAGCATGTAACCCTGAAAGAACAAGTGAGATACTGTATGAAAACATTAAGACATTCCACAGTTACATCTAATGTTTTCAATCTTGAAAGAGGCTCATGGAAACACCAAAACTTTGAATTATTCTGTTTTTTTTTAATACCAAGAGCATTTTCAACTGTTTCTTTTCTCTATTAGACATTTAAATTCTCTCTGGCTTATCACCTTCCATAAAGATGCCCACCAAAGTAACATCACAAAACCATGTCAACTACTGTAACTCTACAAAAAACTAAAAATATCAGAAAAGTGAAAACAGAGAAGGAATATGAGAGGAAGGAAGCTTCGGTTACAGAATACTTTCTTTCGAATTAGAACTGTTCAAGACTGGCATACATCTCTAAAGCACTGAATTAACACTTCAGTGCATTACTTTGATGTACTGTAGTTGCATGTATGCACATGAAAAGTAAATGGATGTCCTGTAAAACATGGGTTCTCAGTGTTTTATAATCTTTTTCCAAAATTACTCTCATGAAAGATATCCAAATACAACACAGAATCACACTGGATTATTCTTATGAACACTGTCGTAAATTACAAATAATCTAAAGCATACAGTATGTACACACTAAATCTTGTCACTATTGAAAAAAATTACACATTATGAGTATGAAAACTATCTTTTGCATTTTGGGGACCCCCACGCCCCAGTAAAGGTGCTTGATGAATGGTAAAATGATTTTTAAGAGAGTTCTGATTGTTGGAATTTATATGATGGGATAGATGATCTGAAAAGCATCCTGCCCTATTCAAGAATCATACTAAGACATGATTATCCAATATTATCATTGCCAAAATTTGGAAATAATCCACAATTCCAAGTAATTTATATTTTATATACAGGTAATTATTATTTATAAAATATTCTATTTTGTATAATTACCATTTCCAATGTATCAGAAATATAGCATCATCCATTCCAAAGCAATTTGCACTGTTGTTCTTTAAATAAATTAAAACTAGTAGAAAGATGGGCAAATGGAAATGTTCTGATAGAAATCTATACTTATTGAGAAGCTGATATTGATCAAACAACTCCAATTCAATCAGAATTTTGTTTTATTGCAACTTGATATTCAGCTTTTCCAGCAAAAGACAAGACCAGATCTTCTCCAAGTGTGGCCTTTCCAATTCACTTTACTGCTGGATTTATGAACAGCCAGTCCTAAATAACTTGTATCAATATAACAATTCTGGTGCTGGCTGCACTCAAGGACTACAATGGGGTGGTTTGGAAGGGCCATGGCCAGAGAAGGCCAGAGAAGGCCTATTCTAGGCTGCATTCTGATTTTGAGCTTCATCTTTACTTGTTTCAGTTTTGAATAAGACCAACCTGTTTTTTTGGAATACAAAAATTATGAGAAGTTATAAAACTTTGGTTCTTTTAAAAACCATGAGTGATAAAAAAACATCATTACATTGACTGTTTACTGCCATGAAACAAATATTTTAGCTGGTGTATTCAAAACAAAACAGTATCAACCAGTGTAATCCTTATTTCATTTTTCATAATACACATTGAGTTGCCTTTATGCTGTGTGGAGTGAAGGCAGAAGTAATACAGGTACCTAGGATACTAACTGCTGTACAATGAGATTTGTATTTCCATTTTCACATACCAGTATCACCTCTCCCACACTACAGGAAGCAAAACATTTCTTAGTCAAACCTGATCAGAGGTCCCTCTGCCTGTTCACTCCTCACATGAATCTGTCAAGCACGGACTTTAGATAAGATCTTCACAAAAGAGGATAAATCAAGCCTCAGTGTCACATTCTTTCCATTTCAAAGACCATGACCAATTTCCAAATTTGTTTTTTTTTTTCTTGAACATTCAACACAAAACTTAAACAAAGAGACTAATTTTCATGAGCACTGATGTAAACATGAGCAGGTGTAACCTGAAATACCCATCTTGCATCTTTTTATATACCACATACAGTATATTTTTTACAAAACTCTGTTGGCAAGAAGGAACATCTTAAAATCAATAATCTGTCTATTTTACAAAAACGTTTTAAATAAATGTAAATATGTAAACACTGTTTGTACAGTTCTGGCACCTTCTTGGCCATGTTGGACTGATAAGGTTTTATTAAACAGGAAATACATTTAAGGAATAAATCTGATACAGCAAGACCAGAGTCTCAAGCTAAGCAGTCACTGATTTTCCATAGCGTCTTGAAAGACATGAGACCAATAGCCCGAGGATTACCTCTGTAAATTAATTTCTGAAGACTGATCTTAGTGTTGGAGTTGTTTTGCTGTGTAAATATTTACACTACTTGACGACTTCCTAAATGTTTTCCTGTGTAATAAACAGGTGGAAAGTTGTGACAAATAAAACCCGTTGCCAGCCCAACTTCTCAAGTTTGACAAACACATTCCTTAATTCTCTGATCACTGAGGGAGCATGGCAGCCCTGGGGATAACCACATGCTCATCTACCAGTCTGAGTCATCAGTGAACACTTTCTTGCACATGTTGGAGTTTTCCTGGTGGAGCGGGAGCTCGGAGCCGGGTATTTGGTCTCTCCTACCCCTGCGGGAGACGAAGCGCTTTCCCGATTGGATGCTTTCGTACTTTGTCATGTACTCCCTGGGAATGGAGTGGTAGAAATGAAGGTGAAATGGTTACAACCCAGAAGAAGCTAACACATCACATGAGGATGAAGGGCCACGTTTTATGCTTTCCTGTACTTGATTGAGTTAATGGCTGATGTGCCATAAATGAAATGCGGCTGGGCTGGTATATGGGACTCCTGGGGAGGTTGGCACACTGATCGTGTCCTGAGAACAAAACATGCCAGTCAATCAGTCACGGGACTAATAAGGACGCTCCACACTCCAGCCCAGCTGAAAACAATTTCAGGCAGGGCCCTGTCACAGTGTTTGTACGTGTTGGGTAAAAGTAATACCATTTGGACAAATTCCTATTTCTGACTCAACTTACTCACGACTGGAGCTGAGGACCGAGAAGATGGAGTATTTAAAGTATGAATATATCCCAGACAAATAGATCTCCAGTTTTTTAACGATCTTTGCAAAGCAAAGCCCCACACATCATCAGCAACAGCTTACCTGAAAGGAAAGGATGCTTTGTCCATCTGCATGCACACCAGAAAGGGGTATTCAGAGAACTTCACTGTGGTAATGAAATCTAGTGTGGCTTCAGTCTCAAAGCTGACCTCCACTCCGGCTTTAACAAAGTCCATGTCCACTGTCACGTTGCCCATCACAAACAAGGCACCCCTAGAAACCAGCAAGATAACTTTAAGAATGAAAGGAGCACTATCGCACAACTGCTAGTTTATCAATAATTGCACCAGAGACGAATGCCCTAACAATCTTAAATCTTTAGATAATTTACTCATTTTGGCAGCCTTCCAAATTAATTGTACTGTTCCTTTAACATAAGATACGTTCCTAAATATCCCTATGTTTATACCTGAAATTATAACCAAGAGAATGACTAATTCTTTTTCAAATTTCTGATGAAACGCATTTCCAATTGTTGGAAATCAATGAACACTGCAGAAACCTGTATAATAAATTATTAATTGCCAATTCAGGATGAATAATTTATATTGCTGCAATCTACAGGGTTTTTCTGTGACTTCTGTCATTGATTAATAATGGGAAAGCAATTTTTAATCTGTTTTACAGGACCGAAGCTCCTCATACATTTTCAGTAACCCAATTCAACCCAAATTCAATTATTATGGTGCATCATACTTAATGTTTATAGTCTGAGGAGGATCAAGCCAAAAGAGCTTTTAATAAATCAGAATCAGAACTGTATTATTCTACTATTTAGTACTGTTTCTATTTTATGAGTGCATAATATATGTGAGTGTTTCTTTAAAATAGATGTGATTTAAAATCTGTGGGTTTTGCACTGCTTCTGTATTGTAAATGCACAGAAGAATTCACTTGATTATGCATGTTGTTTTGACCTGCTAAAATAAACATAATCATTCATATCATTTGAAATTAATTAATGAGTAATGAAATCATCTGATTCATATAAAAAATATTGCTGCAATTAACAGCAAGAACAGTATACTCACTGAAAATTGCATTTAAAATTGGAGTAAAACAAAGTGATTTTAAGTCTAATATTCAAAACACCCTTTAAAGTAGACTGAGCCCTTCTATAAAAACTGGTGAAGTATCCTGTTTAATATTCTTGTACAATTTTGTATTCCCTGACAATCATCCATGTACAAACAATACAATTATTGCTTGAGCATTAATCATATAAAACTGTTTATCATAATTAATGAAATCAGTGATTAATTGTTTTAAATATCCCCCTTAATTTTGTACTACCCCAAAGGTTACTAAGGAGAAATGGATCATCTCCCCTAATGAAAGATTAAATTCATTATGGTCACAAATATAATAGATCCCAAGTAAACTTATAATTACAAAGTACTGGAAAACCATAGATGGCCACATGAATGGATATCATTCTTTATTGGTGGGTCCTGTTGATTTGACAAATTCTGATTTGCATTTTTATCTTTGTTGTCATAAAACACAACACACATTCCTTGCATTTCACTATGTTTAGAAAACCCCTTTAGGTGACACTGAATTAGAATCCCTTATTCATCAAATGTGAATGTTTGAAATGGCATCAGTGCCAGTAAAAAATGTTATGCTAGGATTCAATTGTCGAATTGTTCAAGCATACTGTACGGGTCCATGGGTTTAAAGGATGGCTTTGTTTTTTTGCAAAGATTTAAAAACAAAACGTACTAGATCAGCTTTTTTCTACATTTGCCAAACAATACTTAAAACTAATTGCCAGTAAGCGGGCTACAATTCTACACATATTATATAGAATTATAAAAATTGTACACACATTTTCATTTCAATGGAACACTGCACTGTTGTTTGGCCTTTTGGATGCAGTATGGCTTGGCAACAATATCACTAGCATGTGTTGTGGTGATATAGATAGCCCCCAGGGCTATTCTTAGACTGTGTGCTACACATTGTGTTGGCCTTAACACCTGTCCATGTCATTCTTCTTCTGGAGATATGAAATAAGCTTGGAAGAGCTGAAAAAAAAGTTTAAACTATACATCGGTATATCTGCTCATCTGTCTATGGTGACCCTTCGGCAAGCTCTTATTACTTATTATACTTGGGGAATTGGGGAATTTTACAACTTAATAGCAGATTTTTCTTTTCATCTCTAGGACTTTTTCCCGAGTAGTAACTATGAGAAAAGGCAGACATCCCATTTTCACTTTGAATTTTCATTTATATTGTTTAAGGATCAGTGGAAACAGGGTAGACCCCAGTGTGATTTGGTCACCACAAAAACAACAGCAGGGATTTCAGGTTAGCAATTGTTGTATCTTTACCCATTTACTGTCTAACTGCTTCATCCAATACAGGGTCGCAGGGGAGCTGGAGCCCATTCCAGCAAGCATCGGGCACAAAAGAGGATACACCATGGTTGGGCTGTCAGTTCATGGCACACACAGACACAGACGCGTGCACTCGCACTCACACGCACACTCACACGCACACTCACACGCACACTCATGTCAGGGCCAGTTCTTTCCAGAAGCCCATTTACTACCAGTATATTTTTTGGACTGTGGGAGGAAACGAGAACCCTGAAGAAAAAAACATGTGAACATGAGGAGAACATACAGACTCCACACAGACAGCACCCCAGGTCCAGAATTGAACCCAGGGCCCCTAAGCAGTGAGGCAGCGATTCTAACCACTGCCATACTGTGCCACCCTTTCTATCTTTTTATGCTTTCTAAAACGAACACATTATGAATTCAGCAGCAACCCTACCTGTTATTTACACTGGTCTTAGATTCCCTATACCACAGGCTAAACTCCATGCCACCTGAAATGTCAATGGCCAGCCCTCCCTGGAACTCCACACTGGCCTTCAGCCCAGACTGTAACTGGATGACCTGAGAGGGAGAGAGAGTGGGCGAAAGAGAGAGAGAGGGATGGAGAGTAAGTAATTTAAAACAAGAACAAATCCATTTCAGACAGATAGATAGCAGACAGCATAGCGGCGAGACTTTGGAAAGATCAAATTAAAATTGAAAAGATCCTTAAGCCAAATTGGCTGTGGCACATTTCTAGGAATTGGATGCTACTGTAACTCATCTGTCTAATGAAATGGATGCCTACGCTTTTTTTTTTTGTGCAGGACCATGTTAGTGTTACGCAGCACAGATCTATATGACCATTTAGAGAATGACATTTGCTTTCCTCTGTTGCATTTTTTCCAACTTCACAGAGTTACTCAGAAGTTATGCAATGTGTTTTTTTAAATTAAAACTTAGGATTTTGTGGTTCAGTTTATTCACCTGACCCACTTACACTTTATACATTTCTGTACTACAGCTAGAAAGATGTAGGGTCTTTCCTTTTCAATCTTTTGACTCGTTTCATCATAGATGTGTTGGTTTGGGATCAAAATGTGATCCACCCATTTTCTAGCTGCTTCATCTAATTCAGGGTAGCCAGAGCCAGAGCCAGAGCATATATTGGCAAGCAATGGGCTCTAGATGGGATACACCCTGGATCAGATGCCAGTCCATCTCAGGGCACACGCAGACACAAACACATTCACAGCAATTCTCCCGGAAGTCTTTGGACTGTGAGAGAAAACTGGAGCACCTGGTGAAAACCAATGTGAACATCGGGAGCACTTACAAATTACTCACAAACAGCACCACACATCTGGAATTGAACCCAGAATTCCAGCACTATGAGACTGCAGTGCTAACCACTGCGCCACCATACGCCCAAGAAAAAGATCAGTAGTGCTGATAAGTGCACTATTCATCAACTGTGCAAGAAATGCAAGACAAATTCAAGCTCAGCACATGAGACCAAGCTCCAAAGTTTCGCTTTCATTATATATTATGACAGTTTAGGGTTGCCACATCACCGCTTCCTGGGATCTTTCAATGTTTTCTTCCACTCCTCCACAGAACAATTAGACACACAAATGTTCTCGTAGTTTATTAGTATATGTAGCACAGGATTACACTTCCAGTTCATTACCACGGTCAGCAAAATGAATCTTACTCCTCAAATGGAGTCTTGGTTCATAAACTTTTCTTTGCTCTCTAAAATTCCTTCAGCAGACAAAACACTAAAGATTCAGGTGTCCCCCTCTCCGGTCCAGGGACCTACTGTGAAAAGCCACAGTGGAATCCAGCCTGTAAATTTCATGGAGGACACCAACCTAAATAAGGTGGCTCAAAGGGCCTGAACATACAATGACTGGAAGACTGCTATGAACGGACTTTTTATCACGGCAAAACATTTCCTCTAGCACACAAAGACTTGACATTCTATATCCATCCACACCACGGAAGCTATAATAAAGTATCTTAATCACACACAATGTGAGAGTATGACTTGTAATCCTCTTACCAATTATTTAATATGACCTAATTCACCTATAGTGTGGCTATTTACAGACTTAAGAGGCCTAATGAGGTCTCTGTTGCAAGTTGGATGTCATATCAATCTTCCCTGACCCGGCCTGCCACAGTATGCTTACCTGAGAGTGATCTATCAACAGGATGAGGCCCTTGACCACATTGATTGGATCTCCAGTAGCTGTAAACATCTTGGACATCAGGTCGCTGTAGCCCTTGAAGAAGGTGACTGGTCGCAGCTGGACATCGAACAGCAGGGCAGACATTCCAGCGAAGGACTCTAAATCCTCCTCACCTTCATCAGGAGTAGCAGCGATCAGGGACTCCAGACCTTGAGCCTCTATGACAACCTGGGCAAGATACAGTTATCAGATGCAAAATCAGCAGGCACCCCCTTTTTAATACATCATATGTCCCTTGCTGATGGCTCGGCCTTTTTTAATGTAACAAAAGTGGGTTTTGTTTCCCAGCTCCAGTCATAGGAACCCACTAATGGTACTGGTTTGTGACCAAATCAGATCACATTTATTTTTAAATATCCCATGTTTTACATAAATGTGTTATATATAAACATACGTTATATGTTCAGGAACATATCAGAGCATAGTAACTATGAAAATTCATTGTAAACTACCAGTTTACAAAACACAAAGTGTCTATTTGAAAACTGTTTTCTGATAACTTTGACAAAGCAGAAAAATTTGAATTTTCATTGTTCTCCACAGAGAAAAGGAACTGGAGAATTCTACTAAGAAGTTAGTAGAAATGATTTTCCCATTTCCTGCATCTCACAAGGCAGTTGTCACAAAACTAAATATTACCTTCTAGATTCTCATTGGGAAATTCCATACTGCTGGTTAAATCTGCGCCTTCTGATGCATTTTCTGCTATTGTGGTATTTTTGTCCCTTTCCAAATTGCATTAATAAGTAGTACGAAGGCTATAGTCATGAAGAAAGCATATGTTTATGGAACGCTTCAGACAAAATGTTTCACTTTTTATTGCCTAAGTAAAAACAAAAAAACAGTACCTGGCTGGCATGAAGTTGGGTGTCCTTACTTAAAGCATAGATGTTCATGTTGCTTCTCCTCAGAATACCAGAGCCAGAGTACAGGATGTCCAAACTGTAGGTGGAGGTGGTGTCTGAACCTCCTGCAACATACAAAGTATATCAGCCCCTTTTACAAAGACTTTGTTGCAGAGCAACAGAGGATAGTGATTAAGAAAAGAGTCACCTACGTGCCATGTAGCCAGAGTAAGCAGACGAGGAGCCAGTTTTCGATAAACGGTCATAGTTGTGGGCAATCGTGTTTCTCATCACCTGCCGAACTGCTTTACTGAAACAGATAAAGAATATCAACAGTACTGAATTCTTGAGGTGAAATAGGCTTAATTAGAATACGTTAAAGGTTTATTTCATGCTGAAAAGACACCCGAAGAAGGCCCCACAGCCAAAATGTTGTGTTTCCTTTCTTCTCTTTTTAGCATGGAGTAAACCTTGAACTTGTTCCTACGCATGTTGACGCAGCTACTGTACCTACTTTAACTACTTAATCAGAACACTACCATATCTATCCTACATATATATTATGTCACGGTAGTTAATTCTGGGTGTTAAGGTGCCCTAAACAATAATATATAACCTGATAACAGTATACCATAGGCACATTCACACATCCAAGAACCCAGGGACAATCGGGAAAAACAATGATTAACCTACTGTAGCAGGCATGTCTTAAGAAGGTGGGAGAATCACAAGTGAAAGTGGGGAGAACATTAAATTTCCACGTAGAAGGTTTCCCAATCTGGAATCAAATCAGAGCTAACTACCAGGCCTCCACGCTGTGCTCACACGAAACATTTATCCATCTTCTAACTGCTTTATCCAATACAGGGTCACAGGGGAGCCAGAGCCTCTTCTGGCAAGTAAAAGGCACAGAGCAGGATTCACCTTAGACGGAACACCAGTTCATCACAGGGCATACACTCATACCAGTGTCAATTTTCCCAGAAGCCAATTAATCTACAGACAGTATGTCTTTGGTCTGTGGGCGGAAAACAGAGCATCTGGATGAAATCAATGTGAATAGTAGGATAACATGCAAAACTCCATGCAGATAGTATCCCAGGAATTGAACCCAGGGCCTCATCACTGCTAGGCTGCAATGCTTACCACTGTGCCACAGTGCTACGTTCACACTGAACAGCGAAATTTAAAACAATCATCTAAAACCATGCTATTACAAACTCTGCAATAATGATTTTGAGAAAATTAAACTTTGCATAAAGACTTTCAACACAAGCTTCAAGCTCTTGAAAGCTAAGCGCCAGTGAATAAGCTACTGCACTACAGCGGAGTTTGGACATCACATTAAGTGTGAAGTGTCATGAGATCTGTATGGTTCACAGCCACGTGGATAGTAATTTAGCTTCACATCTCATATGAAGATGACATGTCCTACACAGCATAACCCTTCTGTCCTTCTGCCTTAACAGGACATTTGTTTCGGACCATGGTCCAGAAAGAAAAGAACCATTGATAAAACTGACTTTCCTCTTGTGTATCTCATCCAAATACTTACCAGCCCCAGATATACAGTACTTGCCTCAAGAAATCTGATAAAATTGGATTTACAGGTGGTGCATCTCACCCATGTACTAACCAGGTCCAGATTTGCTTACCTCAAGAGATGAGATCTGAGGTGGAATAGCTGCCAGAAGAGTATTGAGCTTTTTATGGAGTGTGGTTGTGCTTTTCCACGTCTTAGCGAAATTGATGACCGATCTTTTCCAGAGCCCACCGAACATAATGAAGACCTACCTTGCAGGCATTTCAAAGTGCAGGATGTCCTGGACCTTGGAGACCATGTACTTGTTCATCTCATTGGGGAGTGAGCCGATGGAGAGGAGGAGGTTTTGCACTTCAATGTATGTGGGATTGCTGCTGAAGATGACATCAGCCGCTGCTGCCCTCACCACCTTTTCATACACTTTTCTGTTCTGGTGATAGATCCTGTTCAGAGCCTTTTTCACCTGGTACATTTGGGAAACAGGGATCATCAGCTGTAGCTGGATTTCTTCCAGATATACCGCATGCTCATACTGTGAGATGCTTCACAGATCTTAATGAAATTAATCTAAAAATTTTGAAAAGCCCCATTCAGCTTTCTTAAACATTTCCTACAGAGTTAATGATGGGAACTTGGAACATACTGTACAAGCAACATTCTTGCAATGAAATTCTGCTCAATTAAGTATTAAAAAATAATAAAAATGGTTTTCTGGAATAATTAAATTTGCTGAGCATCTAACTCATCAACTAAGTGGTTGACTATGCATTAAATGTGGAACAATGTGCATGAAGAGTACGTCATTGCTATACAGACTGGTATTGCTGAAATTCAAGTTAAATGATTAAGACTATTTTCTTATTTAATGTGTTTGCAAACTGGAAATATGTATATTTCTAGGCCCAAGCAGTTTGGGTTTTTCAATTTTCAGTTGGGTTCACTGCAACAATCTTCATACCAGCAAGAGAAATATGCAGAGAACATGCACATGCCCTTTGAAATATGCCCCGTCGGGCCATCAACTCTTCTTTCGCGTTGGAAACCTGATACACCAAAGGGACAGCTCAGGGATTGGAGGGGAGACAGACGGAGCTCCCACTGGTAAGAGTGCAGGCTCACAGACTCCCGGCAAGTCCCCAGGCTCACTGTTACATACAAGGCAATCTGAGGACACTCTTGCTGGCTCAGTGTCGCTTAGCTCTTGTAGCAACCGAACAATTGTACAACTGCAACCTGGCAAATTCCAGTCACAGTCAGCAAAGAACACCGCCCAGATCCAGGAAACATGATCTCTGGAATATAGTTTTCCAGCTGTGCTTCAAAACCCACCCCTTTAACGCTTATTTCTTTCAGACGGCTTACCTCGTCTGTGATCAGGGACGCGTCGTATCTCTGGAGGGCTGTGATGGCAATGGTGCTGATGGGCCCTGCAGCGGATTCTGAGAACTGTGTCAGGAGAGGGATGGCCTCTGGGAGCAGGGCATTCTTCAGAGCCAGCAGGTACATCTGCACCTCTGCTTCCACCTCTGTGCTCTCAGGTCCTTCCAGTATCAGTTTCTTTACCTGGACTACTGTCTAAACAATAACAGCGAGGCTAAGAACAATGCCTTATTCAGGCCTTTAAAATTAAATAAAAGTAGGAGGATGTGTCATAAATGCCATAAATGGTTAAAGAATCCCAGTTTGTAATGGAACCAGAATTCTGAAGTGAAAGAAGATGGTTGGGCTAAAGAATGGCAATGATCAGACTTACTGGAAGCTCGCATCCCCCCTTCTGGCACAGCTTTCGCACCAGGGCTCCCATGATGATTATGACCGACTCCTTGATATCGCTGCTACCAATCTTGCCATTCCAAATGTCCTGTGTTGAAAACATAGACCAAAACAGGGATGTCAAAGAACATAAGCCACTGAAAGTGACTAAGCCTGTTTATTTTTAAATAGCAACCACTGAATAACGTGGGTTAATGCACTCATGTTTCATACAGGCTCTGACACAGAATAATTATAAACCACTGATCTGGAGGTGCTGTGGGAAAACAACAATTCAACATGCGGCTGCTCATGCTATCAAAGCAGTTCTGAGTGTGTCACAATTTACAGTCGTAGCGGTTTACTAGTGCAGCTGAATGCAAGCTCACCATCAAGGCTTTCAACATCTTCTCATTTGGATGGGAAGCAAAGCCACAGGCATAGAGGAACCTCTCCTGCAGCACCAGGCCCTCAGGGTCTGAGAAGTTCAGGAACTGCAGGATGGCCTCCAGGGAAGCTGGGGTCTGGGCAGAGGTGACAGCATCTACTACTTGTGGCCTGCAGGGGGCAAGAGACGTTTTCTAACTCTTAATTGTTACCCCATGAAGGATATCTCAGCCTCACAGTTACAGATTTTAGTAGCTTACCCTCAACAGAACTATGCTTCACGCTACCACTACCATGCCAGCTATCAAAACTATAAGGAACTCCTTCCAAACAACATGTTGGCCATCTATGAGCAGCAGGAAAAGCTTGAACAGGATTTGATATGTACTGTATTGCATGAGGGTTTGAAAATGTCTATCTAATGCTATCCAGCACCATAATCTTCAGCTGCCCTACGTATGAGGGTAAAGGGGTGTGAGACTGAACAGCATTTTCCAATAGATGTCAGGATTGTTCTTAGCCAGGGAGGTTCTTGAAGGCCTGACTTAGACCTTCTGCCATTGAGACAACACATTCAATTCACAGCAGGTCCCTAGTATTTTGGACAATTAGTGTATAACTATTACTACTACAGCCAATACTATATATACTGCGAATAATAAATATATAACGTCCAGTGGTCACCTTTTCTCTAGGACTCTGGCTTTTCCTTTGATACTTAACCCAGACATCTAGACTGTAATACAAGGTATTACTGCGTGCTTCAGTGAGCCTGTTCTCACTCAGTGTAAACTGTCTTCATCGCACTTATTCTCCCCGACAGGTCTGATTCTCTGCTGTTTGGGCACACTTACTCTGCTACTGCTTAGTGCAGCAGCAGACGAAATAATAACAAAAATAAATACCATGCCTGAGCAAGAATTCTAAAAAAAAGATGGCCTCAGGACAAAAGAGCAGAGTTTCATCTTTATGGTCGTGAATGAAATACAACATAGAGACAACCAGGCTCCTCTCATCTGAGATATGAGATGAATTCACCTGAGGGCTGAGGGATGAGGTGCAGTTGTGCTGGGGGTTGTTGCAAAAAACCAAATGAGGAATGAAGTGACAGAAAATATGGATGGCAATGAATACAAATACAGTGTATAAAAATGGGAAAAACTGTAGATAATCTTAATGGACTGCCACTGGTTTTTGAGTTGCTATTTCTGTGCGGAGCTGAGGGTACATTTCATGCAATGAAGCTCGGCAGCTGTGCTTACAGGGCAGAGTGGCTTGTGCTCCTGAGTACTTTCAGGATCTCCTCCTTCCTGGATTTTCGAAGAGTCTGGATCAGAGACAAGAAGCTCCGAGAGGCAGGGGCTTTGGAAAGGCTCTCGGGTTCAAAGTCCTTGTGGATTGCTTGCCAGTGATTCCAGAGCTTAAGAAAGAACAGAGCTTCAGAAAGAACAAGAAAAAGCCCTGTACCTGCCTTTCACTCTAACGTATTACTATTTAGTTTAACATGAAATATTGTGATAATTTTGTTTTTGATATAGTCAAGAAAGAAATGCATTCCTTATATTCCTAAAAACTCCTATTTTATTACAGTGATTTGGTAACCAGTATAAAAACAAATGCTAAAATTAAACGAGAACACCTGTGGGTGTGGTGTGGGTTTGTGCTCGCCTGAATGACACAGGGAATGTAAACTGTAGGCAGGAATTAATAGAAAAAAAAATCTACTCATGCAAAACAAATACAATCTGATAACAATTCTTTTTTATTTCATGCTTAAAAGAACAGGAAAATGAAATGCTTTCGGCAACCACAACATTTATCCGAAACAAACAACTTTACAATCAAGGATAGATGGAGAAGACATTCTGACATTTTCTCACTTAGGTGTTTGTCATTATATTAGTGTTGTATTTTTTTTCTGTTTCGTATAATATGACTTTTACTGACTTATGCTCACCACTTTAAATTCAATCAATCCAGGATAAAACTGGTTACCTATAAATGCCACAGATTGTGCCACGGCCTCATTTCTAAAAATAGGGAGGTGCAGGGTTTCTGGTGATGCTTGACTGGTATAATCTCCTGTGTGAAGTACAGTGTGTGAAGCCCCAGAAATACCAGAACCTCATATCAGACTACAGAACGTGTCTTGTCAGAGTAATTCCTGCCAGAAGAGTGTTTATAAAATATTAACTACAGAGATGTTAATAAATGTGACTTTTTGTGACTAGGTTGTGACTTTTCACTGCACAGTTCTATTGTGATTACAGTAATTTCTTTAGACTTTTTTGAGGAAGATGTATTTTCCAAACTGTAAATCTTTTTGTTAATTGATGATTGTGCTTAAATGAGAGCATGATTAAATCAGGAGGGCGCTGTATACAGTATATGACATGTTTATAATGCACTAGTACTTACCGAGGGACAGCCTTTGCATTCCATCTTGATTTTCTCTGATGCCAGGGAAATGGACACATACTTAGGGTCCAAAGACTTGATGATGCTGCCAACATCTTTACCAGCACTTTCTTGAGGTCCTGACTCTGTCTTAACAAGTTCTAACTTTTGCCTGCAAAACAAAATTCAGTTTTGGAGCTCATTTGTTACAATATGTGTCACGCCCTCTGCAGCCAGAGGGGGCTCCCACTCTGTCCTGCCCCTAGTTTCCTGTGCTTTGCTGTCCTTCTGGTGTCTCTCTCGCTGGGGCTATATATTTCCGGGTCTCTTATTCACCTTCGCTCAGCATTGACGTTTAGATGTCCTGAGACCTGCCTAGCACCTGGTCGCCCCACGTCCGCTGCCTGAGGGCATTGGTTTCTATATGACTCCTGAACAGCTAACCCAGGCCAACCCTTGTCTCGCCACTACGAATAGGGTCTTCTTCTACTCTCCTGCCATTCCACGGTTTGTCCCTTCCTACATCCGTGACAATATATCTACTTTTCAGATACTTTAATTGCATTTGTTTTTACCAGAAAATAGTACCAACCATTCAGAGTACACCAAAATGTAACTGAAATGTATATTTGCACACTATAACATGAATGTTTCTTTTTAGGCACTGGCTATATAACAAAATATCCAGTTAGATAATAGTTATAAAAATGAATGAAAACTTTCAAGGATTTTACAGATATTAGAAAACGCCCTGAATAATATCTGTTGTGTTCATGGTGAGCTTTAAAAACCATTTATATGGTTCTCCCAGGCCTAGGCTGAAATATAATTGACCCATTTACAGTATACAGATCCTTTGAGCCAAACTGGGATGCAGGCTATATTTTACAAAAAAAAAGAAAAACACTAGGGCAATCTACTGTAGGTCTAGTAAATCATCCAAAAGCAGTTAAATTCAATGGTCCCATTAAACGTGAACAGGAAAGGACAGGAAACAAACGAAATCCAGTGGTAAAATAAAAACAAATGTTATTTTGTGACAATCAAAAGCGGTATGTACAGTAAGGTATTGCAAGTACAGTGACCCAAAAAATGTTCAAATCAAAACAAAAAAAGAATTATGTTCAGATTCGATTCCCGATCTTCAGTGATAACTCATTTGTGAAACCCATGTTTTTTGGGAGTTATTTGTATACCTGGACACAATTCTGGCTGCAATGGCCTGCCGTGTATTCAACGACAAGGTGTGTCTCTCCTCCGAAAGAGCCGACTTGATGAAACCATCTTGCAGAATGAACTCGGTGGTGGAAGAGGATTTGGAGCTGACCCCCAGGACCTGGGTAGTGAGAATAGAAATGAAAGAAAAGACGATGGAAACAGCGAACCGAAGAGGAGCTGGCGATTCATCATTATGGCCAGCAGCCATATCACCCTGCAACTCACAACTGGCAACCCACTGAAGCTAAGCAGGTGTGAGCCTGGTCAGTACCTGGATGGGAGAGCCCCTGGGAAAAACTAAGGTTGCTGCTGGAAGAGGTGTTAGTGGGGCCAGCAGGGGGTGCTCACCCTGCGGTCTATGTGGGTCCTAATGCCCCAGTATAGCGACGGGGACACTATACTGTAAACACACTCCGTCCTTCGGATGAGACGTAAAACCGAGGTCCTGACTCTCTGTGGTCATTAAAAATACCAGGGCGTTTCTCGAAAAGAGTAGGGGTGTAACCCCTGCGTCCTGGCCAAAGTTCCCATTGGCCCTTACCAATCATGGTCTCCTAATAATCCCTATCTATGAATTGGCTACATTACTCTGCTCTCCTTCCCACTGATAGCTGATGTGTGGTGAGCGTTCTGGCACACTGTGGCTGCCGTCGCATCATCCAGGTGGATGCTGCACATTGATGGTGGTGGAGGGGAGTCCCCATTACCTGTAAAGCGCTTTGAGTGGAGTGTCCAGAAAAGTGCTGTATAAGTGTAAACAATTATTATTATTATTATTATTATTATTATTATTATTATTATTATTATTAATATTAATGCAATCGTGACTTTTAGAGCAATGCATCACTTAAGAATCAGAAAAGAAGAATGCACATCTCAATGACAAAGGTAACACTTCTAAAGCATCCAAAAATTCACCTGTTTTAACTTTTGGGGTCTTTGGATTGCTAAGGGACTAAACTGTTTAATTCTTTAGCAATCCAGAGACCCCAAAAGTTAATTTTAAAAATAGCCTGAACTATAGATTGCGGTCTTAAATTAACTATAGACTGGTTTCTTAACTGAAGAAAAGCACACAGCTTAGCTGCAGTTCTGTGGGTCACTGTTATTATACAGTACAATGGAGTGTAAGTGCTGTTCTGAAAATGTTTGTCAGTCCAAAGTGTGCAACTAAAGAGTCACTGATTTTTTATTTATGTGTTTGATTGCTTTTGCAATGTGATGCCCATGCATTTGCAGAATTCTTCATTTTTGATCCACAGAAGCCCTCAACACTGACCTTACTGTGAGATGTGAAGCCTGTCTCTGCAGTCTTGCAGCTGTCCACAGCTTTGATTCGAGTAACCTGATTCTGTCGAGCCTGATAGTCAATCATGCACTTTCCCGACACATCCACCTGTTTTGAGACAAACATCATGGAAAAACAGACAGCTTGAGTTGCCAACGAAAGCCACTGTAAGATAACCAGTCATCAAACTGACTGGAAAAAAAGACTGGATGTGACAACATAGAATCATTTTTTGAAAATCTAAAATATGATGTGTGAAAACAGTTCAGCGCATATATTGACTCCATGTGGACCTTTTCCTACAATTTTATTTGGGTATAGCGTGGAAAAGAACTTGCCATTTGCAAAGAATTCCAATCAGTCACGATGCTTTTTAAGAAGAAAAAGTGTTCCATCAAGTATCAAGGGAAAATGTTTTTTGATCGAATACATTTCTATTTATATACAAACCACAGGTTAGCATGATCTGTTTAAAACTGTCCCATCTTTCATATAAAATGACTTTATTTAACCACAGCAATCATATATGGACCTATTTCCATATGCAACTCCTGAGCCACTTAGGGGACTTTTCACTAGCACTAGCACACCTGGTGAAAAGGCAAGAAAAACACGAATTCACTGTGTCAAATATTATTACTTAATTACACTAATTCACTTGGTCAAATATTATTACTTGATTATACACATACTGACCTCTTCCACTTTTCCAGATGTGAGCTGCAACTGAAGCAGGCTGGCTAGGCCCCTCTTAATGTTCTTGATGACGGCATGCTCACTGTGGTATGTGTACAAGTTTTTGACCTGTGAGTAAGAAAGCATGGAAAAAAAAACATACAGTAAGAACAGTTACAAACATGAAGAGGCCATTTGGGCAGCTAGTCTTGTATTCAGTAGCAAAGTAATATGAGAATCACATATAGCTTCTTATAGAAGCCAGGATGCCTTCAACAACACGGCTGGGTAGCATGTTCTACACTTTCACTGTTTGCATAAAGACATGCCATCGGTTCTCAATTTAAAATATGAAAATTTCTATTTGTGTAATCTGTTTCGCTGCTTATTCTATTGAACTCCTGGTCAATGCCTTGATGAGGATTTTGAATACTTGATTCAAGTCCCTTCACAGTCTTCTCAATTCAAGATTAAAAATGTTAGATTAGACTGTCAGCGTAAGACATTCCCTTAAACCCTTGAATGTATTTAGATGTATTTCTCTGGACTGATTCCAAAGCAGCAATATCCTCTCTATAAGGGAGATGTGATCATATTTCTTAAATAAAAATGTGCAATATGTACATGGTATATTCACACATTATATAAATTTCTCTGTGGGAGTACTGACAGGCTGTGGTACAGCTAGTTTAGCCTTCCAGAGAAACATGCAGCTGAAAAGCTAAACCACCATAAGGCAGCCAATCACTACAACCCTTGGTCACATTACTGTGAAGAAAAGTTTAGTGCATTATTGCGGCAAGGGCAACATTTATAAAATTATCTGCCTTTAGAGGCAGCATGTCAGTTGCCCTTTGCTCTGAGCACTTGCGTTCCTATGCTGTCAGCTCCAATGCAGAGGGCGCACCTGATAACAGCTTAATCTCAACAAAGCCTGCCACACTTGCTTTCTCAACACTCTGACCTTTGCGCCCACCAGCCAAGTGTCTGGAATTTCTACAACGATCTTGGCTTCCATTCAGTGATTGAATTATTCTGCCATGCCAATCATACAGCAAGTACTATTGTTTCCTGAAACTAGGCTCACGCCATCCCTCTTCTCTCAATGACCGACTTATTTTTTGTGTAATCTTCTCTATTCTCCTGCAGGTTTTGACTTCACACCTTTCTTCACCCTTCTCCACTTTGCACTTCCTGAGTGGGCTCTCTGCCCCTCCTGCCTTCTCCCCTCTCCCAGCTTTTGTTCTTCTGTGCTATTTAATCTTTGCTGTCTGCTCTGTCTTTCTCACACCTGAAGAAGGCTCCATAGCCGAAATGTTGTGTTTTCTCTCTTCTCTTTTCAGCATGGAATAAACCTATTACTTGTGCCTTTGCAGACTACGCCTGCTGACACAGCTACCCACCTGAACTATTGTATCACTGCTGCTTAGATTGGTAAATTATGACAAGTAAATGAAAAGTTATTTGACATTAAAGTTCCATGAAGGAAGCGACACACCTACTAGGGTCAAGTATGATAAAGACCAAAAAGTAAAAGAAAACATACTTTCAGTTTCTTTAGATCATTGCATTTTAGAATATTTGAGTATTTTATTGTCATAAAAAAGTAGTTCCAGGCTGCAATGCATGAAACTAGAAGAAATTTATGAAGTTCTTGGCTGAATGTATTTGTGGTTTTCAGCTAGGAACATTTTCCTCGCTCATCTTGAGGAATACCATACATGTAGTTTAGTAGCTTCTGTGAAAAAATGTGTGAAATACAGATATAACAGAGAAATGTCTGTTTATTCATCTGAAACTATACCTCGTAATGGCAGGCATTGGAGCAGAGCTATACTGCACAAGGCAGACTATGGTACAGAGCAATTTTAATACCTGTAAAATCAAAACACATGAATTTTACTATTATTTTGGAATTTGGGTTAAGACCAATGCATCTGTGTCTAAATCAGTGATTCTCATGCCTGGTTCTGGGTAGCCTTAAAGCTTTGAAGACTTAAATTTATGAATACAAACTTAGAAAAATATTGCAATTAAGAACAATTAACAAAATAATTAAGTCACTAAGAGCTCAGATAGGATGAAAACCAGAAGACTTATGTGATAATATATCAAAGTAACATGTACAAAAAAGAAATATACTGTAGTCTACTTAAATACAGAAGATCTGGAAGAATTATTATAAAAAATAAAAAACATGAATCTCAGAGAATGGGTAAGTTTAATCAAAATAGGCTTTGCTCATGCATTTACAGTATACATCATCACATATTTCCTGTTCTGTGTTCTATTTTGGACTGGGGAGTCATCTTTGTGATATTTACATGAGGTGGGGGGTTTTCTCCTGGTGCTACAGTTTCCCCCCAAAGTCAAAAAATCATTCTGTTTAGGTTAAGTCTCTGAATTGCGTGCGTGCGTGCGTGCGTGCGTGCGTGCGTGCGTGCGTGCGTGTGCGCGTGCGTGCGTGCGTGTGCGCGTGCGTGTGGAGGTGGGCATGTACCTCATTCACCTCATTCTTCTGCCTTGTGCATGTTGTCTGCAAGGTTAGGCTCCACTTCATGTGACCCTAGGTTGTAACTTTTTGAAAACTTTCCAACCTTTTTCCAATCAGTGCCTAAGTATGTACAGTTCCTTCATATTCCAAACTCATCATTGCCCTTGCTCAACACATTTAAAAATGTGAATGAACAAGTAATAGGTTTATTCCATGCTGAAAAGAGAAGAAAACACAATATTTTGGCTATGGAGCCTTCTTCCTTTGTAGCCTATGCACGCTGAGGTAGCTACCCACCTGAACTAAAAATGTGAATGTCATATAAGAAACCACATATAGTAAAAGGTACATTTCCCCTACCTTTCCAAAATTCCAGTGCAAGATGAATGGTTTTTGTAAGTCAGCCAGATTCTCCTTTCCAAGAATGCTTGCGGCAGTGGATCCCAGAAAGACATTACTCTTCTCTGGGCGTGGAGTCACATTCTCAATCCTGATGTCACTCATCTATGGAGAAACCCAGGTGAGAAAGATGTCGGCTTTCATTTTATTCCATATATTGCTTATCCCAATGAGACCATGGTCAATTTCCACCTGGAATGATGTCGCCTCAAACAGTTTGTAATATCGTTTTGCACGGGGATAATGGGCAGACATACACCTCTTATCAACACACCCTTAAGAAACATTCATCTTTTAACACACTGCAAGCTCAGGAGTACCTTAGAGGAGAGTTTGTGCTAATGGGAGGAGCTGTATTGTATGTGTCTTATTGAGGTCCAAGCCTGCGGGGACCTGGAAAACCAAAGGGATTGCTGTTTTGCAAAGAGCCAAGAAAGCCCTGGTTAATCAATCCTAGCATTGCTCCTTGCACTGCCCTTCCAATCATGTGCCACTGCCTGGGGAATCCTGGTAAACATACTGCACTCGCCTTGTGCATTACAGTATATTGGTTAAGCCAGCTAGGGGTCTCCCCTTCACAAAACTCTTTAATGAGGTTGGTTGACTGCATTCAAGAGAGTTGGGAGACATGCAAGTGAAGAGACTCAAGTCATAAATAAAGAAAAGAGCGAAAATCATCTTTTTGCCATAGCTGGTTAAGTAGTAAGGCGGACATTTTGTAGAAAATGTACTGCACAAGGCTCTGGAATAAGGTACAAGACATAAAAAAGAAACATCTTTTTTGAATCACATTCTGGCAAGGATAAATTATATTTGTCAGTTTCAAAGACAGATAGCAATCTAGCAAAACTGATTTTTTGAAAACAGATAAATACACCATATATCTGGATATATCCATTTTCCTGTCATAAGGTAATTTTCACCATGTTAGCACAATTGTGATTGTTATTCTCTTCTTTTAGTAGCAAATAAGATGCCAGCATAACTGACTTCTAACACGAAAGCTTCACATACCGCTATTTTGATAAGCTGATCATCTTTGCTGCTTGGATTTCTCCAGACTAAGTTGAGGTCAACACTGGATGATATCCTATAGCCAGCACTGCCCTGGGCTGACCCTTTGGCTCTGTCTAGGTGCACTTCAGTCATGTAGCTGAATTTGTACAGCTTTCCATTGCTGAGCCGTGGCCCGATATTTCCATCTGCAAATAAGAACGGAGTTACATCCAAGAAACAAATACGGCGAGGCACTTAACAGAGCAGTAGTTGCCCAGAAAAATTAAGCAATGCAAACAACATGCACAGGGTGCATCTCTTTATTGAAAGCAAAGCCTCATTCCTATAACATGTTGCAAACACCTCAGCAATACTTTCCCATGGTACTTAGTTAAATATTAGTTCTTCAAAGTGTCTTTTCTAATATCATAATTATACGTTTTGGTTGTTGTTGTCATTAGGCACAACCATTCACATAAAATCTTGCAAAATACAATACATACGTGCAGAAATCAGAGGTCTATGCTTATATACATTTAATACCTGATAAGTGCCATAGGAAACCACAGGAGGCAACGGATCCCTATAAACAGCTAAGGGTAAGTGTAAAGGCTCAGATTTCTAAAAGGTGATCATTTTAGCAGCAAGTAACTGGAGGTGGGCCCATGGGACTTTTTCTGTTCTCTTCCACAAAAAGGCATCTATTGCTCAATGCTGTTTAACTGTATAAGATAAAAATAGGCTTTATAACATAAAGGGTATTCACAGAATGACCAAACCAGATTGTCTTCCATCTTTGACAAACTGTGGTTGCTTTAAAAACACAAATGGTAATGTCAAAGTGTAACACTGGCAGAAGAAGTAAAAAGTGTCCATCTGTTTTTATCTTTCACTTTTTTATCATTGTGTTAGGTACTTAATTCAGCTAAGCTGGACATTTTCTAATTTCTGAATATAATATGCTTCTTCTAAAAAGAGCTAAAATATTTGATTAATTGAAGTTGTTAGGAATATTTGTTAGGAGCTCCCACCATTTCCAATAACTGGTCTAGTACCATGGTATCCATTGAATGGGCTTACAGTAACTCAGACTGAACTCAGACAAACTAAATATTTTTCAGGAAGTCATTTGTTTTGTGAAACTACAGAACCGCATACTTTGAACTTAACCTTAGTGGTCTCTGTTTAGGATTAGGCTAATAGTCACCACTCAACAGTAACAAGTCTCAGTGACTTTGACTTGAGAATGAAGTTTCCCTCTGTGTACTGACTTTGCTCCATACCAACCATGTAACCCACAGTTCAAGGTTAAAATTCGACACACCGCAGACTGCATCGCTGCTGCCAACAGGAGATGAATACAAGTACAGCTGTGGTTCACAGCAAAGGTCAGTGACTCAGCATGATCATATGCACACCAATTAATGCCATACTCACATTGCATACCCTAAAAGCCGCCAGTTTAGTATGAGCTCTACCCTTGTTTTTCAAAATAACAAACATCTACATAAATAAGTGCACTGCTGAATTTGCAATCCAAGTTTTTAGCAATCTACTTGATGATCATATGTAGAATTATTAGTGTTAAAAACTAAATATGCTTTATTCTAAAACTGCATTAGCCATCCATCTTCTGACCTCTTCTTCCAATGCAGAGTAAAGGGTCTGGAGCCCATCCCAGCAAGCAACAGGTGAAAGGCAGGTTACACCTGGGATGGGACGCCAGTTCATCACAGGGCTCACACATACACATTCCTGTAGGGCCTGTTTTCCCAGTAGCCATTTAACCTAACTGTATATTTGTGACAGTGGGAGGAAACTGGCACACCTGGAGGAAACCCCCGCAAACATGGGGAGAACATACATGCTCCACACAATTATTTTATGCAATTATCCAGTGCAACTTCCATTGGATGAAGAAATCTAATGCAGATTCCAAGAGAAGTGAATTTCATAAAAATGTAATGTATAGTACTTTCTGTTCTGAAACTTGAGAAATAATCAATGGGGTCCCAGAATTGAATGCAGGGCTCCACTACTGTGAGGCAGCAATGCTAACCACTGTGTATCCCACTGCATTATAAAAAATTCAAAAACACTACCCTCACCCTGATGCCATAAGAGCACAATTATTACAGTCTATGCAAATGACTGGTGGACAAGAGGACTATAGCAACAACAAAAAAGATCAAGACAGTGTCTCAATAACACAGGAAAAATAGATAAAAGCAGCTACTGAGTAACCATCATCAAGCTTTGTTGTCAAGGAGATGTATTGAATCTGTATTTGGATTACATTAGCTAAGCCAGTACTACAGTGGTAAAAACTAGAAAATGCAATGTTTCTACTTCAATAAACGTTCCATAAAATGGACTTTGTCTGTTAATTTTAGTCTCTGTAGGTGATACACATCTCTCAGATGTCAACTTAGATATCCTTGGCCCTACAGATACTGTACTGTAGGTGAACTCTGCAAACTGGCTGAATCATTGTTGAAGTTCTTTGGTATATGTGTAAATGCTATTACATTATCCACAAGTAGTACTTTCCTTCCACAGTGTTAGGTATTGTCTGCATTTGCTAGTCTGAATGACACATCATAGTAAGATTGCATCATTTTTTATGACTTAACGCTGAGAGAAGCTTTGCTTAACAAGAATTCAATCCTTTCTTTTCATCTTAGTCTAAATAGCAAAGAAGGAACAAACAAACATTGCTCAAAAACTAAACGTTTTCTAAGTTCTTCGATGCAAGTTCCAAGATAAGTTGAATGATAAGTTTAATTTCATAAAAATGTAAAGCACTGTTTTCAATCTCAATAAATATTCTCTAGAATAACTCTTCAACAGATGATTTTGGAATAACTTACTAACATTAATATGGAATAATAATTAATAATAAAATCATTAATAATGTGTGATAAAAGCTCACAGACTTTTCTGTTTGACATTTTCTTTAAATATCAGACAAGCACTCTTAACACCCCTGTTTCCCAGCCTATTCTATTTTTTTAACTGAGAAAATAATTTAAAAATAAACATTTTTTATATATATTAGGAAATACAAATGTCTGGTTAAGGATAGTGTTTGTTTCCAATAAAAGCTCTATTCTGTTTCACTAATTTACCTAAATAATGAAATCACAAATTGTTTATGTAAATAATGAAACAACATACAATAATTTTCATATATTACCAGTTTCTTTTTAAAAAAAAAAGCTGAACAATAGGACAATGTTCTGCATTATAAAAACTGAGAGTAACAGCTGTAACAGTATTCAATACCACAGGGCATTGTATCTTTATATCATTAACTACACAAATTATGTCATTTTATTATTGTTCTTGTAAGCATACTTGTCCAAACTAGTGACACTAACAAAGAACTTAACTTGAGGACATCATTCTAACTTCAGAGAGCTATAAAACCTTTTATGACAGTTATCCAGACATGCTTGACATTTCTGAATGAATGGCCATTTACTGTACAATTCTTAATTGTAACCTATGTCTTTTAAATTTTTAATCATACTCTTTATATCTATGTAATTATCTATATATTTATATCTGAAGAAAGAATCACTCTGTACAAAACACTTACAGCTAGAAATGAAAATTGATGGATTCAGAAAAATAAAACATCTTATAACTGGCTGATTTTAAAATTAAATAATGGTGCAAATCACTTACCTTTAGAGGAGGCAGAAAGGCAAAATGGGATTGTGCAGAGGAATATAAGGCTTAGTCTTAACATTGTTCCAATGAGACGTTATTAGTTGATTAAAATAATAGAAGTGTCTGAAAAGTGGTGTTCTGGCTGCAGAGACTCAGAGGGGTGCTCAAAGCCAGAAATGTTTATCTAGATAGAGTGGAGGGCAGACTCCAAACTCCACGCATAAGTTCTAAGTTCACGCAATACGTTTGGGTTAATCATTGAACATGAGAATGAGATTTCAGAGCCATGGTGTCTGAGTGACCTGTAACATTCACAGCAAACAACTTATCTTTGGGATGCCAATTGTTTTAAACACATGTAGCAAGATTGAATTGCCCAAGACTCTATCAGTAATCAGCTTTCAGAATATTGACGTTTTGCAAACTAGTGCTACATTTTAAGAGCATAAGATGACAGGTTACAAATGAGAGAAGATCATCTGGCCCTTTTCTAGTCCATTTGATAATTATTAGATAACATCCAGCTGTTTCTTGAGCCTTTCTTGAGCTGTTTCTCGTTTTTAAACCGTTGATCTCCAGTCTCCACTGAATCTGTTTCTAAGCTATTTCATGGTACATCTCTCACACACACTGTTTCATTTAATGTCTGCTTTTAGATTATGATAAATATGTGTAGAATTCATATTTGAAAACATAAACTAAAAAATGGTTTGATTAATTGATTAATAGCAACCGCATTCTGAATTCCAACAATCTATTCATTTTCTAACCACTTTATCCAATACAGGGTCTTGGGGGAGCCAGAGCCTATCCTGGCATGCAACAGGCACCAGGCAGATGGGTTGTCAGTCCATCACAGAGCACACACAGGCACAAACATACACAAACTCAAATAGAAGCCAATTAACTTATTGGTATGTCTTTGGACTGTGGGAGGAAACCGAAGCACCCAGAAGAAACCCACAGGTGTACACAGAGACAACAAAAACTCCACACAGATAGCACTGATAGCAGAACTAAACCCAGGGCCCCAGCACTATAGGCAGCAATGCTAATCAATAGGCCATTGTGTCACCCACAGTCAGGATTCATTCACTGACAATGCAGTGTGAAATATACTTTGGAAGAAGCTCTGGATAAAGATGTTGGCAAACAAACAAACTGATAATTAATATATGATCTGGGCATGAATACAGAGTTTCAGATGGCTGTTATTCTCTTACACTAATTGAAAATGAAAAAGATCAGATGCATCCATTTAATAATGCTACATGCATTTTTGTATGGATCTATTTCCATATAACTTTCACCTAGTTTTTTGTGGCCATATTGGTTATTACATGGTCAAAGTACAGTGTCTCAGGGTAATGTCACACTTCCTGACACGTCAGGATTTAGAACAAGACGTTCCTTCACTCTCAGCTGGGAAAGAAGCTATAAAGAGAACCTCACTCTAGTTAGAAACATCCCACGCACTCTCCCCTCTCTCCCCTTTCGTCCTCTTTCTTCAGTTCTGTGAAGCAAACAATAATGTAATCAATAAGGTAAACAGTCGTAAGAGCCAGAAAGCTTTTAGAAAAATATTTTCATAGTATGGCAGGACACAGCACACATTCATTTTGTATATAATGTAATACAAAATAATTTCACAAGTTATTGTCCAGGGTTGACTTTGCAATTCAGCAAATACATTTAGAATGCATATACTGTATTTATATACATTTGTAATCTTGCATGCAGAACAATCTCTGTCCATATATGTGAGAGATCCCCTTTACTAGTCTCCCACTGTTGCATAACGCTCCTTGTAAATGGAAGATGGGAATAATGAATTTTAAGTCCTTGCTCATAATAAAAGTGACCCTGAGATAAGACAGTAGGTATCACACTGTCAGCATCATGAAGTGCTTCCACCCACAAAGAGCTCTGAGGAGACAGCAGTGTGAAGTGGCATGTAGGAGCTCTGGACTCTAAACTGGAGGGCTCTGTGTTCAAATTCCGAGTCAGATATGGATGTTACACCCTTGAGCAAGGTACTTTTCCCAGCTGGCTCAAGTAAATGCTCTGCTGTACAAATAGGTCTCCAGGTTGTTATTGTAAATGAGCATTTGTCCTTAGCTGACTTAGTAATTACACAGTGCAGTGCCCTGAAGCATATTGTGGAGAATCCTATGAACATATGAGGCACACTGTTGGATCAAGTTCACCCTTTTTTGGCCTGCCATGGGTCATGTTCCCAAAATTTGGCAACTATCTCAAATTATTACTGCCTAAAGCAGGGCAGAGTAGGTTTGAATGGCGGAGGGAGAGTATCTTATCTTCAGTTTAAGACCTGAACCAGGGTTCTGTTGTGTTTAGTTGCAGAGATATAACAGAATGTTTGAGGAGAAAAACATTCCAGGTGGAAATTGGTTCTTGAGGGCATAAACAGCAAAAGGATAAATTGGACTATGGTGGAACTTGAGTCCAAGTGGACGGCCTGTGCATCAGTGGTAAGAATGTGAACTGTTCCTTCAAAAGCAATTTAGAATATGTGAACCCGATGCACTGTCACGCGTGTCACATCTCCTATCCATTTTGCAAGAAAACTCTTTGGCTGGATGTCGGGTGACTCAATACAACCACTATACTGGGATAGAATGAGTCTGTGGGCCACTCTGTCCCCTAAGAACGTGGGATAGATGGGTAAGGGATGATAGAGCCTTTTGTATTTTCAAGGTTAAACTTCAGATTTAACAGCCTAGACGTGGGCTAGCCATTGGAAATGGTGTCACTGGAAATTTGTGTCATTGCCAAAGCCACGGGAAAGATGTGTTAATATATTGGTGCATCTAGTTTCAGGGTCAATGAGAGAAGCCTGCACATACAGCCACGGAGCCTCACACAATGCCATCCATCTAAGTTATAGCAGAATGAGCCAGGCAGACCTGACTGTGAACAGGGACAGACTGCAATTCCATCCATCCATTTTTAAAAGCGCTTCATCCAATTCAGGGTCGTGGGGGAGTCAGGAGCCTATCCCAGTGAGCAATATGCTCAAGGCAGGAAACACCCTGGCCCGGATGCCAGTCTATCGCAGGGCACAAAAAGGCACAGACTCTCATACACCAGGGACGATTTTATCCCTATCAATGCGGCTTTGGCTTATGGGACGAACCCGAGTGCCAGGAGGACAGGCACACAAATCAAAAAGTAGTGTCCATGACAGCACCCCAGGTCTGGAACTGAACCTAGGGCCCCAGTGCTGAAAGGCAGCAATGTCAACCACTGTGCCCCCCAGCTGCAATACCATGTTAGGCAAATCAGGACTTAAGGAAACTGTTGCACAGAAACTCCCTCCCTCACATTCATTAATCGTAAATAGTTCACGTTTCATTTATCAGATTATTAAAATTCGACGGCAGCTTTCTGCAAGGTTACTCGGATTAAAAAAGGGAGCTTTTAAAACTTTACACAGCAAAAATATACTACTGTTTAGTGTTTCTAAAGGAAAATAAACCAATACAATAATTCAACGTAGGACAATAAAACAAGGAACAGAAAATATTACAATTTAAGGGTATAGAACGGTCGCTTAACTTACAGTAAAATAAAAAAACAACATGTAATGTCCATTCATACACAAGGTGTAAATAATTTCAAGGCATAGAAAGAGATGCGTCTAAGCGTTATATTTGACATTTCTTAAGTTTTAATTAGTTTTAATGACCACTAAGCTATAACCACGTGAATACACACGAACACAACAATTTATAGAACAGAGTACTATGCGTGTACAACGACCCCACAAACCTCATCGCAACCGATAACCTTTTCCTCTTAGCATTTCCTGTTCCTGAAGCTGCGCTTGTTGATGACGTTCATCCACGTGTGACAAGGAGAGGATGTGTTTCAGATGGTAAGTAATGCATAGTTAAGGGAATTCTCGTTGAGAACAGCGAAAAAATGAGGCGTTTGTGTGTTTATTATCAGTCGTATATTCAGTGGTATTTCCTCATGAGAGAAAGTGAATGTTTTAGTGTTTTTTAGAAGTACGTAAGAAGATATACATATATTATATTCGTAGGTGATTTTTTTGTAGTTTATTGAAAGGGAAGTCAGTAATTTGTTGCAAAAGATGACTGAAAGTGTACCCTTTTAAAGTTTTAAAAATGCAGTAAGCAATCACATACTGGTAGTCGATGTTTTGATAGACAGGAACACTGATAAATGAAAGGAGGTCGTTAAGCTCGTTTGTTTAGCATTTTGTAAGGCATAAGGGATCCGACAGTCTCGTCCATCAGTTTCTTAAAGGAAATCAGACTTCATCCTCTCTAATGAGTACTTTGTCCGATATTTCCACAATACATACCTGATTTTTGTGTGTTCCGTGAGAAATTTTAAAATGCGTCCCAGATTTTATTCACACCTTAAAAACCTGGTCCTTCTGAGCAAATTAACGCACAAGCTTCTCATACTGTGAAATGTGTAAACACTGTGCTGTTTCATTTCTCTGAACTGAAAGGCACAGTTTTTTAAGTATTCGAGAATGAGAGCTTGTGTTATCTAAATACTTAAGTTTTGTTTTTTTATATAGTACGTATTTTATATTTAATAAAAGCGTCAGTCATGTACTATATCTGCCTTTGCTGTTGTTATGCTATTTAAATTTTAACATGACTAGAATTGTACTAATTTGATTTACATGTATTAGGAGTCCCACCTGAAGACATGTGGCAGCAAATATGAACCACCAGCATCACTACACAGCAGACCAAGTGATTATTATGCAGTTGAATTAAGGTGAAATTTTAGCAAGGATAGATTGTTCAAGCCTTGAATGCACTTTACCCAGGACAGTGGAATTAACACCTCCTTGAACCTTACAAGAAATGTCATATTTATTGACCAAGCAGTCAGGACCTTCTGTCTCTTCAAAGCTTAGCACCTCTTACAGTGCATTGCCCCCAGTCACTACACTGCAGTATTGATTTAAGGGAAGAGTGCTATCTAGTGGCCCACCTACCCCTCTCACAGTAGCCACCTGGTTTTCTTTGGAGGTCTACTGACCCTGGTCTAACTAGGCTCAGGTTTGATTCGTTTCTGAAATCTGACAAGATCAGGTTTCAAGGTAGTAATATTGTACTGCACTATATAGTATAGTAAGTCTATACTGCATAGACTTTCTTAAAAACAGAAGCTTCTTTCTCACTACCTACTGTACATGTACTACAAAAATGCACGTGTTTATTGAGTAGTTTTTGATAGCTCATCCCATCTGTTATGCCTTTGTTGTGATTCCCTCCCAAGATTTTAAGACTAGCAGGACTGCTTTTAACAGACCACATCGATGTGGAGATTGGCAATACTGTCTATGTGCAGGTAAACCACACAGAAGTGAACAGCACGATGTCTTCTGACACAAATGATGTCGCAGACCTCGCCAAAGAAGTGGGTAAAGATACCGAGCGAAGACCTTCCGAAAATCAGCAAAATGATGTCCAAGCAGGACAGACACAGTCTCTCTCAAAGCGGCAAAGGAAGAGGTTACTAAGGAACCAACAATGGGAAGAACAGCGGGACCTTCGGAAGTAAGTGGTACTACAGTGGTGTTTGTGACATTCTGCATGCTTCATAAATCGTGCTACAAAATGAATGAGGAAAACCTCTAAAATCCAAAGGCTATCCTTATGTGTAATTGTTCTTGTACAGTTATGAATTGTGCAAAATAACAAGTAAAGTTTTACTCCATGCTAAAAGGAGATGAAAAGAAACGCAACAATTTGGCTGTGGGGGCTTCTTCGGGTGTCAGTAATGAAGTGAATTGATAACGTGAGGTACTCCACAGTGCACGGGGACTGTTCCACTGTTAGTGCCTGTAGGAAAGAGGTTCATCTGGCACAGCTGTTAATAGTGATGTTGTTTCAGCTGTTAATAGTAATGAATCATTTGGCTGACGCTTTTATGATCCAAAGTTAATTATAGAGAGCTGGGGTGAACTATGTATTAACACCTACTGCTGCGGAGTCGCTTACAATTGGTCCTCGGTTTCAGTGTTTTATGCCAAGAAGAGACGACAGGGAGGCTAAGTAACTACTTGACCTCAGCTGTTGTGTAGCTGATTTTTATTGCAAGGTCATAGGCTTCTCTGAGACATTTAATGGTGGTAAAAAAAGCCCTTTTTGTATTTTGTAACTGGCCTTTTGAATGGAAATGGCTTCTGAGTCGCAGAGATTTCCATCTGCTTTCTTGAGAACGGAAGACGAATGTTGTCCAGAAGGGGTTCTGTTCCTTCAGGGTCATTCACCTCTTCTCTTTTTTTTTTTTGCTCTGCTCTGGGGCTAGAGACAAGCTTACCCCACCTGACAGTAATGTGTAGTTTGCGTGAGTGTGTGTGTGTCCCCTGCTTTAAAGACAGAGGCGCAAGGAGAAGAAACAGAAGAGGAAGCTCGAGCGTCAGAATCAGGCGGAGGATGGCGTTGACGGAGGCTTCAGGAAACGGGCGCGGAGAGAGGCCACGCCCAGCGCCCTGCGGCTGGTGGTGGACTGCAGCTTTGACAGCCTCATGATGCTGAAGGTGGGCTGTGTTAGGTGCTTTAGACAGTAGTCTCCCACCCTGTTCCTGGAGAGGCCCAGTCTCGTATCTTTCTTCAGTTTCCCAAGACCTTGTAAAGGGTGTTAGTTCAGTTAAAGAATTAGCCAAACTGTTCATGCTCAAGCTATTAAATTAAATACATTGGAAAAAAATAATTTAATTGAATCCACTGTCCAAAGACATACTGGTAGGTTAAATTGCTTCTGGGAAAATGTGTGTGCATGTTTGAGTCTTTCTTGTGATGGACTGGCGTCCCATCAAGGCTGTATCCTGGCTTGCACCTGTTGCTTGCTGGGATAGACTCCGACTCTCCCATGAGCCTGAATTGCATAAACAGTTAGAAAATGGATGGATGAATTCATTGTCACAACACATAGTCATTTGTTTGCCCTTGAATGCTAAAGATGTACACAGGAGGGGACCATTACTGATTTTTAGCCGTTGTTTTTTGACAATGGTAGCATCTGACATTATTGAGGCCAAATGTGAGCAGTATAAGAGTACAGAGTGCTCAGAACCTTTATTATTCATATAAAGAGGGATTTTAAAAAAGTTGTATTCAAACGCAACAATATGATTAGATGGGGACAAAGCTCTTTTGCACCAATTTCAGCTTAGTAAGGCAGATCCTTTGAAAAAAGGAGCTCCAAAAACATCTCTTTTTGACCCTCCAGTAGAAACCTTTTTGGTTTGGTTTTAGAGTGATGAGGCTACAGGATGGCTTTGCATCTCAAATGCCATTATTATTTTCTAGGATGGTTAAAGAGGAGGCTTCCCTATACTAAAGGCCGATCCTGATGATTAAATGCATAAAAGTTAGGCCTGAGGCAACTATGTATGTGATATTCTATTGGTGCAAACAATTCTGAAGCGGGGATTTATTCACTCTTTAGAGAGACCGCTTCTAAACAAAATAAAGACTGTAAATAGCTCTTTAGTTTGAACTGGAGGCCCTTAAAGAAACTTAAAAGAACCATTTTCATTTTCATAACCATTTCCTGATAAATATACCAGCTGCATGCACTTCTGTAACATTATTTTCTCAGAGACTGTACATAAGATCCCAGACACCAACACAAGATTGTTTTGTTGTTTTTTATTCTTCTTAAAGCACTAACAAGATTATTCATTTACTGAAATCAGCTTATCTCTTTGAAAGCTTTACAGATTTAAGTTTGCAGCAAAGAAAAAAAACTGTTTGAATCTCGGGCATAAATGTATTAGAAGTGAGACATATATATTATATGAAATTATAACAGAAAAAAGGATTGTCTTTCTAAATTAATGATTTAGATGAGTAGAAAATAATACGGGAAATGACATTCTTAGGCGGGTTGCAAAATATTAAAAGCCTCTAGTATGACCCTGTTTCAAGTTCGATTTTAGAAAAAAGAAAACAGAACAGTTACAATAGGTCAACAGCATTTCTTTAATAACCCAGTACCTAAGACTTTTGGCTATATTTTCATTGAGAAGTAAGGGTAAAACTCTATAGATTTCTATAGCAAGAAGCTCTAAATCGATTCATGGAAGTGCTAATATTTTCTATATTTTGATCCACCCTAGTTCTACACCTTAGTTTATATAGTTGGTCAAATTAACTGATTGGCTGTTTACAGTTCTTTATAATTGTTTCACCCACGCTCCTAGGTGTTTTAGATTAAGTGGTACTTTAAATAAACTGAAGGTTTTGAGTAATCATATGTAAAGACATACAATAATCCTGTGTATGTGTAAGAAAATAATTAGTTTAATTGTTAAATGTCTACTCACTGGAACTAAATGACTATTAGAACTAAACAGAAGACTAGGCCCTCATTTGTAATACCTGTTCTGTAAGTTTAAAAATGAAATGAAAAGTGCACAGAAATGTTCCAGATACAAATTTGATAGAAATACGCTCATGCTTATTTACAGTTTTTCTTTGTTTTGATGCCTGGGTGACCACCAAAAATTAATTACTATGTACTGATTAGTAGAAGTCTTGAAAAAAGACACTATCAAGTTGATCGTGTACACGACAGTTGCTGTACTTGTTTTGAATAGGATGTGAAAAAGCTCCACAAGCAAATTCAGAGGTGCTATGCTGAGAATCGCCGGGCACTGCACCCTGTCCAGGTATGAGTGTTAACCCCTTTCTTCACAGTTCTCAATTCTTAACTGCAGTCCAGTCTGGCCCATTGTAATAAAACTAAAGAGACTTAGGAAAACAAATTCTCTGCTGGAGGAGTATGATAGTGTTTCTTACAGTTTGTGTTCAGACACATAGTTTGTGTATCTCAGTGTCACGAAGGAGTGTAGGAGATTGTGGGCCAGTCTCAGACTTGACTTTAATGTACTGCATTATACTCAAACATGAATAATGCCAAATGTGGACTAAATTCATTAACCTTTTCAACTAATAAAAATGGTATCTGCATGACAAAAATTATGTATTTTTTTGTTTTTTAAATGTTCTGAGATGCTGCCAGTGTACTGAAGATTATTAATTATAAGGGACACCACCAACAATAGTTGATGGTAGTTGTTTTTGCCATTATTTGCTTATATTAATATAGCTCTTTTCATCCTATTAATCCAGTGAACATATGCAGCATTTTTTAGAAGACATTAAAGCAGTACAATAATCAAAACCCTGGTGGTAATGCATTAGTCTGTCTTAATATTCAGATATTAAAGAATCCTATTATTGAGAATTTTAAATTAAATTTAAATGCAAATCCATAACAAAGGTCATTCACATTTCCTTCAGTTTTATCTCACCAGCCACGGTGGACAGTTAAAACAGAACATGGACGAAAGCAACAAAGGATGGGTTAATTGGAAGGTAGGATATTTTTCTTTGTTACAAATGTAGGCTTTGTGGTACTGTTAGAATGACTGCTGCATTTAGTGTGAAAGAAAATAAAATAAAAGATTAACTGGGCCGATGAAAACTGTTTTTGCTACTGAATGTCTTAGGTTTTCTGTGGTGTGGTGTACATAAAATGTTCCATTTATGTAGGCAGATGAATTGGATGCAGTATAAATGGTGAAATATTTTTATTTAGTTCAATAAGAGTATTAGAAATTGATTTTCGCTTTTAGTAGATAAATACGATAAGTTATCCCCGAGATTTCCTTTCATTTGCACTTGCTCTCACCTCTCATGTCCATTTTCATGTGTTCTTCCTTTGCTTCAAAACCCTGTTCTCGGAGAGTCACGAGCATGTGGGTTTTAAAGGCTACCCTTGGATTAGTTTCTATAAGTGACAAAGTTGTGCAGGATGTTATTTCAGTTAAATAAATTTAACAAGTCAAGACTTGAGTTAAATGCATACTTGTTAACTTAATCAAAAAAGTATATTTCGTTCTATTTCTATACTATTACATTGTTAAGAAACAAGATCTTGAAGATCATAAAGCTTAGAGATAAATAGCTTGTCTCTTATGTAGCAGTTGTTAATCAGGATCTCTTATCTATGCATCACTAAGGACATCAACATCAAGTCGGAGCATTTCAGTGAAATCTTGAACAAAGAAGATCTGGTGTATTTAACATCTGACTCGCCAAATGTGCTACAGGAGCTGGAGGAGTCAAAAGCTTATGTTATTGGAGGACTTGTGGACCACAATCACCATAAGGTACTATTCACGTGAGCTGCCATCAACAAAATCTTTAAAACTTTATCTGGCCCTCCGTGATCTTCCTTACACTTGTGTTAGGCTGTTTTTTTTTTAGGTTTCTAACCTCAAAATATAAAAATAGCTTTGCAGTATCCCTTTAACTTGTATTTCTGTTCTGCAGTTTAGCAACAGATCAGTCAGTGAACTGCAGTTTAGCTTATTCGCATATGATTGTGCATGTTTTTTCTACATTTATTGGCTGAGACGTCTGACGTGGTTACCTAGATGCAATGAGTGCTAATTTCATTTTAAAAAGGTGGTATGTTGGGGGAAAAAACCCCAAAAATTCAGAACACTTCATTTGACTGAGTATAGGTCAAGTAGGAAGCTGCATCAGTATGCGTAGGCTGCAAAGTAAAAGTTTATTCCATACTAAATAGAAAAGAAAATAAACAATGTTTCGGCTGTGGAGCCTTCTTCAGGTGTCTTTGGGTCTTCTTCACACACCCAAAGAAGGCTCCACAGCCAAAACGTTGTGTTTCTTTTCTTCTCTTTTTAGCATGGAGTATAGGTCTTCTACATCAGTTTATTACAAGCTTAACCTTGACCTTTGTCACAGGGAATTACCTATCAGAAGGCTCAGGACCTGGGGATCAACCATGCTCAGCTTCCGCTTTGCAACTTTGTGAAGATGAACAGCCGAAAGGTTTTGGCAGTTAACCATGGTGAGATGTCCCACTGCATATTGCAGTGTAGAATTTGCAAAGCCATACTTTTAATTCCTCTTATCATTTCTATTAATGGATGGAAACTCGCATACCCTCAGAGTTCCTGATTTACCGTTATTACTGCAAATAGTATTTAGGTACCAAAAAATGAACAAAAATAAAAGGTTGTGCATGGAAGAACAAGAATGTCATTTGATTTGAATTCCATCGAGACATTTCTCAAAGTGTCCTACTGAATTAGCTGTGTGAAAATGGCTGGCTTGTTTCCCACACTTCCTCATCACTTCTGCCTTCTCTGATGATGATCATAAAACATTTCTTTGGTTTCACTTTGCAAATATTTGTATCAGGCCCTCTCACAATCTAAAACCCGATGAGAAATAGGTCATCCTATCTAGGAATGATTCTGGATGCGTTTTTTGTACTTTTCTAGGGGCAAAAAAGCCCTTTTCATAGTGCAGGGGCCTGAAGCCCAATCATGAAAAGCTATTATTCTGCAGATTTTATTGGTAGCCTTGAATGGTAAATGAGCATGTTAATTCCCCCTAATGAAGTACATGCTTAATCCAATAACGGTAAATTCCTCAGAGACTAGCTATACTGAATACCAGGAAACACTAGTGCTCTACTGGACGAGGGTTGTCAAAGTGTGATAATCGATTGTACACTCAGTATTTTAAGTGTAGTCCCACAAAAGGATTGTTAATCTTGTTTACTTTTATTTAAATTCTACTTTTTTCACACTCTACGTTTTCAGTTTATTAAAGGCTTTTCTGTTGCTTCTTACCAGTGTCTGGTGTAGGAAAACGATGAGTCAACATGAACTCCCGAGTCAGTTAGGTCGCCACCCATGCACGTGCGAGTGACAAGGGGATTCTTCTCTTACAGTGTTTGAGATCATACTGGCGTACTTGGAGAAGAAAGACTGGAAGGAGGCCTTCTTCACCGTCCTGCCTCAGCGGAAAGGTGCAGTGCCAGTGGGACATGAGGGCAGCCTGGCTCAGGACACCTCTCCGGACAAAGGCGAAGAGCAGGAGTCGCTCGACTCGGACAGTGACTCAGAAACAGGCAACACTGTCGCACCAAACTCTGACGCTGATGTGCAGAGCAAACAAGGAAAACAAGACCAGAGCTACGAGGAAGTGAGCCGCAACAATTCGGAAGAGTCACCCAGGGAAGGAACCGCAGCATAGGCAAACAACGCTATAGAGACCCTGAACATTTTCTTTTTCAATAAGTAGCAGATATTCACAGAGTTGTATTTACTGAATCTACAGAATGAGGGGCTATTTTTTTGTTTGTGACATGAATTAAGGAACACGAGCAACAAAATGTGTGGTGCCTGTAGTGCATTTGTTGACCTGCCTTATACCTGATTTTTAATATATGCATTCATGGGCCATGAATTTCCTGTACATGCAAGCAAAAGAATTTATCTTCTTTTGGATCTTCTGCAAAGGTGCTGAAGTGTTGTGGTTCCATTTATCTTTGATTTTTAACTTAAAATGATTGATTTGTTTAACCTCTCTTTAAAATTATTTGTATGTAATTTGTGTTATTTTAATACTGCCAATTTATGTTAAGAACTTGCTTGTACAGTGTACAACAAAGACATTGGCTTAAGTCACAGAAAAGACTTCTTCCAGTTATTCTTGAAGTAATTTTGAGTACAGTGATAGCTAAGGTTATGATGTATTCCCAATTGCCATATATAATTAAGCCATGTTACAGGCAATATATCAATGAGCCTATTGGTTGTTTTAAACCTGTTATTTTCTTGACATCAGTCCTGAACATTTTTTATATTGTAAATATCCACCTTCATAATAATCAAAACTGCATAAAAAGTAAGCATTCTGCCATGCAGAAGAGAAATATACAATAATATTCTGAAAATAAAACATTTTTAATCTATATGGGATACTGCTGAGATATTACTTATAAAGTTGTTGACTATAAAGTAGTAGAAAAGGATGATCCATTCACCCCCTTCTAACCCCTTCTTCCAATTTAGGGTCATGGAAGAGCCAGAGCCTATCTTGGCAAGCAACAGGCATCATAAGCCAGACAGAGACACAGATATACACACACTCACACCTAGGCCTAATTTTCCCAGAAGCCACTAAACTTATCAGTATGTCCTTGGAGTGTGGGAGGAAACTGGAGCACCTGGGGGAGAACAGACAAACTCCACACAGAGATCACCCCAGGTCTCAGGCTGGGGCCCCAGTGCTGCAAGGCAGCAGTAGTAACAGCTGTGCCACCATACTGCCCAAGAAGGTTTATTTCAAATTAAAAATACTGGGGAACAAAAGCTCAAATAAGAATATGTTCTATTTCTGCCAGAATTCTTCTATAGCCTATGATATGTTATTTGAATTTCATCACTGATAAAATAATTTGCATTTAAGATAATATGGATGCAGCTATTTTTAACATGGTTTCGATGCTTTGAATGAGTTCTAAGAAAGAATATTTTCTACTCAGAGCATTGTTTTGCCAAGGTTTCCCAGTTCGTATGACCATGTCTGTATGAGTTCATAAATATTTGGTTTGGGGGTGGCACTATATATGTAGCATAGCACTTGTCATGGAAGAAGTAAAACGCAAATCTAAATCTAAACTCAGATGTTGCTATCCATCAAAATAAAATGGCTTCCAAAAAATGATGTTTAGAGTGAGATGTTTTTCCTTTACTCCAGTATTTTTTTAGGTCTTCATTTCATAATATTCAAGAGGTTGGCTTTGAACCACTTTTTTGTGTGCATTCCTCTGCTTTCCTCAGGGCCTGAAATGCTGCCGCGCGGTCATGAGGTGATGTCAGTTTCTTGCTGTAACGGAATACAACCTTTTTATTTAATGTCAGGTTGCAGATGCTTGGGCTGGTCAGCGTTCTCGGGTTTGTCTGCCTTTCGGTGGTACAGCTATCTTGTGTAGTTGCCGATGACGACCTCTCTGTATGCTTCCTGGAGTTTTCCGTTTTCCCTTAAAAACACAGACCATTTTTTAAGTGAATATTTTACTTCATTCTTCTCTGCTGCTTATTTTTTCAGGATAAAAGTGTTTCTGTGGCCTCATGGGTACTTGCAGGATTGAGGTTGTGTAAGAGACTCATCTCTCCTCCAATCAGTGTTGAACCTCTGTTATCATTTGTTCCCGTGTGCGGTTGCAGGGTTCAAGGCAGTGCTCCAAGACACGAAAAACACAAATGGTGTTTCCACTTTGGGAGGGTTTGTAACAAGGGGATTCTATTGGCGATCTAAAAATCGGCGATCCTATTTTTTGTTAAAGAAATACTTCCTCTTTAAATCAGGTGAATATCATGTTTTATTTGCCAGCCACGATGGTAACTCTAATCTCAAAATACGGAGATCACATAAAATGACATCACTTTAAATCAAGAGCAGCATGAGAGTATCAGAATGATGAGACAATTAAAAATGTAATTAGTTACCATTTAGAACAAACCTCTTAAAAGAGGGATCTTAAACTAATAGAAAAAAATAATTTTGATAATTTTAGTGTAATTAACTGTGTGTGAAATTCACATATGAATTATACATACTTTAGGAATATTCAAGTTTTACCTGAATCACAGCTTATAATTTGAGAAGGATATAGTCTGTTAAAAGAAAAGCAAAGAAAATTTAATTAATTTTTAATTAAGTTTTAGATTCTTATACATCATTAAATTGTACACTGCTGGGGAAAAGGTTATGTTATTGGAGGTATTTTAAATACAGCAAAACAAGTCTTTTATTGGATTTATATATTTCTACCCTATATGTCATACAAAGTAATAAGCATGCATCCATGCAAAATATTAGACAACAAAGACATGGAAATAGAGGATAAAAGAAGGCACTGTATATTGCCCTGAAATGCAGATACTTTCATTTTAGGCTCATAGGCGACTGACACAGAACTTGTTGGTTGCCTGTGGTGATTGTGCTTGGGATTCAAAGATTTCAATACCTGCTGCTTGGAGCTCCATAAATAGAGGGTGATCGAGAGACTGAAGAGCGAGACTCAAGTTCCACTAAAACCACCTGATTCTCCTCTGAGCTTTTCTTTAGATGAAAACCCTCTTTACCTATGGCTGCACGAATGATGTTCAGCACCAGCTCCTTTTCTGAAACAGGGAACGTTAGACATTCATGGGGAGGAATACATTGCTCTGCTGTGGTTGCCAACATGATTTGTTGATTTGTCATATTTTGCGCTTATGTAAGCATGGGCATGGAAACCAGCAACATCATCGACACCCAACAGCAGATATTAGCAAATGACGTTCAACAGTAGAGAGAAAGAAGCATATTTTTCCAAAAAAAAATAGACTATGATGTGTGTGGGCATGGGTAAAAAATGATGATCAATAATATCTCTACAAATTCTGTATGTCACGCCCTCTGGAGCCAGAGGGCGCTCCTTCTCTGTCCTGTCTCTCATTTCCGGTTCTTTGCTGTCCTCCCGGTGTTTCTCTCTCTCTGGGGCTATATATTTCCGGATCTTTCAGTCTGCCTTGGCTCAGCATTGACGTTCGGATGTCCTGAGACCTGCCTAGCTCCAGGTCGCCCCACGTCCGCTACCTGAGGGCATAGGTTTCTATACGGGATTCCCTGAACAGCTGAGCCCGGGCTAACCCCCGTCTCGCTGCTACGCAGAGGGTCTTTTCGCTCTCCTGCCATTCTACGGTTCGTCCTTTCCGACATCCGTGACACTGTAGCTACAATTGGAGTGTTATTCCTGAATAACAGATGTTTAATTCCAATATTCAGGATTCCACACAAAAAGGAAATATAGATTATGATAGGTTACTATGAGTATATTAGTAAATTAATTCACCTGTAAATATAAGATATTGAATAAAACACAATTAGGAAAACTGACAAAATTAGAAACTCATTTCTGATGTTCTGTTAAATGTACTCAAAAATGTCTCCATTTTTTGCACCTTTTCATCTGGTCTCATCTCTGTGAGGTTCTGGTGTCCCTGCTGAAACCAGATTTTCACGGTGGCAATGTGTTGAAATCTAAATAAGGTTCAATTACATTTTTTAAACATCTTTTTCTAAAGATGTTTGAAACCCTTTTCAACATATGCCAATACCTTTTTATTGTTTGTTATACTAATCTGTCAGTCAGAATCTGTAAACTCTGTAAAGTAAAGTGGTCTGAAGTTTCACCCTACCTCTCTGGCCTGCAGTCAGAAGCCAGTGTTGAACAGCTGCAATGGTGTCTGTCTGGAGTATCTGGCATAGCATGTCAATGATCTATGCATTGAAGGTATAGAAAAGAAAAGGGCAAGGAAAATGATCATGCACATTACTAATTATTAATAATTACAGTATAATAATAGCAATGAGTAAAGAGTAAACTAAGCTATAAAGTTTTTGACCAATTTACTCTGATTTTTGATGGTTAAAACCATTTGCGTTTTGAGATCCAAATCAAACAACTCAAACATTTCAACTTAATTACAGTACCAGGCACTTAACTGTCATGATATTTAGAGCTCAGAGACTAGAAACAAAATATAAGACATATTACACAGGCCTTACCAGTGGCTTGCAGGGAAAATTGTTAAAAAGTTAATCTGGAACCACCTTTTTCCAACAAAGTTTTTACAGAAGGGAAATAAAATATAAACTCAATTATATTCAATAGCATGTCTTTGGTTCAATGAAACTCTTAATAAACCTATAATGATAATTCTATTAATATGATACCGGTGGATCACAGGCTTTTAGTATTTCTCTATTTTTAGCTTTTTGAAATATTGTGGACAATGTCTTCTCTTTGCTTTACACTTAACATTCCTATTTGTTACCACTCTGTGTATACAGGTAGAAAGCACATGGCACACATGTGGACAATGGACACACAATTTGATCAAAAGTGCTCACCAGCAATTCCTGATTCAAATTTACTTCCTCTTCCCTTGAGCCATTTCGTCCAATCAGAGGGCTGGATTGTTGGGACCCAGAACGTGTTGATGAAGCTGTGCCACTACCTGGAGAGACTGAACAACGGGGCCTTTTCATAGGCATACTGTACATAGATCACTTATAATCCAGTGTTACTCATTTGGGAGAGAGTTATATAAGCAAATAATATATTCTGGCAACTCTAAAGTAATGGCATTTTATTCTTCTGATTTGCATTATTCAAGTCTGGATTATTGGAATTTGCCTTATGTTTTGTACAAAAATCTTTTGTAGAAAAGGGGGAAAAAAGAATGATAGTAAAAAGAATTAGATGACTACGATGGTGGCAGAATATGGTTTCCTGTACTTTGAAGCTGATGTCCAGATTGTGCTCAGCTGATCACATCAATTAAGAAAGTTAGTTCGCTAATCAGTTAAGAAAGGTTCTACTTTTTATACAGAAAAAAAGATGAGAGCCCTTAAAAACTATACATATTCACCTCTTTCAGGTTTTGTTGGATTGAGCAGTCCTGCCTTCTCTGCTAGGTCTCTCAGTTCCTCTCTCCAGGCTTCTGACACTTCGTTAACATGTGATAAAGACACAAATGTCATCCTTTTGCTTTTTAACAACATTGCTGATGACTTTTTGCCATTTGAAGCTGGGGTGTCCAACATCCTTTGTCTTATTTGTTTTTGTTGAATTGCCAATTACGTTAAACTCCGTGTCGAATGTGAACATGAAACATGACCCCTTACCAAGTAGTTAGCATTTATTCCAGCACTCAGTTTGTTTTATAAATAAGCCTTTTATGTCATTAAATCAAGAGGAAGATTCAAAACATGACCTAGGGTCATCGAGCTCTAACATTATACTCATCACAAAGTGGTGTTTTTGTAGTATAGTTAAAGGTTTGAGATGAAGCAAGACTTTTACTAGCATATGCGGTTTCCTTAATTCAGCATAAGCTTTGGTCATGTTGGTTATCAGTGAAGGAGTAGCTGTCATGAACTTATTTGAGTTTAGGGACCAACAGCAGACTATTTGCCTCTCATTACTTGTACAACCACCTAATCTATGAGTCTAATGTTAGTCTAGAAATAAAATTGTGGAAGAAGTGGACATTTTTTCCACTTCTGAAAAATAAAAATCTGTATCCTTCTAAACAAGTTCTAGCTCAGTACTGTTCAAGCTCAGTAAAAATTGCAAGGGGACCATTGACGGATTGAAGCAATGGAGGCTGGATGTACCATATGCAAAACAAATGTGAGAAGAGGTGTTTGTTTGAGATCTATTGTATGTAGTTGTATATCATGAAAGTCTGTAAAGATTATGATTTAAAACAGCTGGACAGAATTGGCTTTGCCTCTTGTTATCTCCCATGAACGTCAGTTAAGAACTTCTATTTATGCACAGAAGTGACTTTAAGACACACTGTCTATTAAAAGATGGTTAATAGTTGCTCTTAATTGTGCTTCTGGCCACTGGGATCCAATACAGATGTTTACTCTATGATTGCATTGCACAGTATGTCACTGCAGTTTATATTTGAATTCCCTTCATATTAGACAGGAACTATAGATCATTTACTTATTTCTTAGTAATAAAGTACACGAGCATGGGAAACATTCCATCATCACTCAGACAGGATTACATGATAAACTCACAAGTTAAAAAAATATATTTTCTAGGAGACTCACCATTTCAGACAGATAATGTTAAAAGCTAATAGGAATCAGACCTTTGAGAAAATTCATCATTGCATTTAGATGTGATGTCATGCAATTCACTCCACTTAATGTGTTCCATCACTGGTCTAGATTCACTTTCGGCTTAATTCCTACCAAGTGAAATCAGTCATTCCATATGGTGTACTTGTAAAATATTACACTTTTTATGACTTACATAACTGCAGGGAAGGCAAATCCATCTCTTTGAATGGGAAGAGCTGCAGACCACTGATGGTATCTCTTGTGCAAGAGGTGGGAGTTCCCATTGCACTGCTGGGGATTTTGCATTGCAATATAAGGTATTTCTCAGGTGACATGGGCTTTCCCAAGCAGTACTGTGTCTTCTGACCATAGCCCTCATCATTCACAGTGCAAATTGGAATGTCATTCAGGCCTGGAACGGAAAATTTAGTTTGATAATTTCATAATCAAATATCCTACGAAACTAAGGTTATTCAGCTCCTTAAAAACCGCTAGTTAACCCAAAAAGGATTAATTACAAGCAAATAATGTTGAGTATATTGTATTTAAATGTGTATTTTTCACTAGATGTGAGTGCATACACATATTTCCATCACTGAAGTCAATGCATTAACCAATTAGCAAAATGTTTTTGTATTGTGAACTTATTTTGACATTTTAATTCAAATCTTAGGAAAGAAAATCATACCAATTTGTAATTCCCTGCTTTTTTCTGTTTTTGCTCTCTCCCTTCATAAGAGGTGAGTTATACTATCAGATACTGTATAGCCCACATGATGTCAACAGATGTTTGCGCAGGTGTTAGCGTTACTGTTTGCTACAGGGAAGCGCGAAACGTTACCAGTGTAGGTCTTTGGACTCTTCAATGTTCCCTTTACAGCCAGTGTGGCTGGCACAAGGTGGGGTGGGGCTGACTAACCTTTCATGTGGCGGACTCTCCGCGGGTGGGGGTTGTTTCTACAGAAGAAAGGGCTGCTACTTTGTGCCCCGAAGCGCATGCTGTGCTGGCGCAGGAGAACCAGGCAGGGCTGGGAGTTCAGGGTCTTCTTCCCCACCTTTAGAGAGACTTTACTCAGCTCGCACTTCTGTGGAGTGCCTGCTGGAAAGGTACGTCGAGGACTGGCTTGAGCCAAGACAGGCAGATTTTCCAAAGGTTTAAAAGCCCTGAAATACAGGAATGTTTCTTACTTTGTTGTTTTTTCTCTTTTGGCTCCTTGACACATTTTATGCAGACCGGACATTTTCTTATTGCATTTCTTCAGGCTGGGAACCATGTAGTGTTCAGCTACATGTCCAACAGGAGTGACTTCAGAATCTAATAGCTGTAATTTTTCAAATTCTTGAATTCTCTAAGAACACTTTTTAATTTTTTTATTTCATTTCTTGTATGCATACGCTCATGTGGTTTGTACAGAAATGAGAGAACTGACAGTCAGCATTTCAGTCTATACCGATAATTTCCCACCAAACAGAGCTAAGCCATTTAGGTACTAAAGTAAATTTTAGCTTTTGTGTGTGGGCCATTTCTCTAAATTATAAGCTTCTAATCACAGAAGACACTACACATTAGGGAATCGTCAACTCATGTTCACTCCCTCTGAGACTCTGCTTCATACATTTTTGCATATATTGATTCTAAAAGGCTGAACAAGCTCATCAGGAGAGCAAGCTCTGTCATTGGGCTGACCAGGACCCCTTGGAGGTCGTGGCTGAGAGGAGAACGTTGTCCAAACTAGAGGCCATCATGGACAACATCTCCCATGACAGGCTTGTAGAAATGAAGAGCACGTTCAGCAATAGACTGATTCATCCACGGTGCGACAGGGAGCGCTACAGGAGGTCATTCTTGCCGTCTGCCATAAGACTGTACAACGCATCCACCTTGCGTCTGGGCAGAGGCAACATCGACAGTGACCTGTTTCTGGACTGAACACATCTACTGCTACATCTGTTCTCTTTCTTTTCCTGTTTACAACAGTTTTTGTGCAATATATGCCAGGGACCCGTGCAATACATTTATATTTATATCTATATCTATATTTACATCTATATTTATATTCATATGTGTGATACGATTTTTCTGCGTACTGTTCTGTTCTAGTTTGTTCTTTGTGTGTCCTGACTGTGAGTAACTCTTTTAGTGCACCCCTCACTGTACTGATTGTATTGTATGTATTGTACTATTATTATTATTGTATCATTCGTTACACTGTGGCTGTGTTGTCTGTGTAAAGCTGCTGTTGCACTGCAATTTCCCTCACGGGATCGATAAAGTATCTATCTTTTTCATGCAATGTCAACACTTATGCAACAATCCAATGAAGCTGCAGTAGTCACTAAATTAATTAAACTCACAGGTGTCATAAAAATGAGGACATTTTCACATTTAGGACATTGAGAATTGAGTCACTCACCTTCAAGAGTGAACAGTGAACACAGGTACTGTGACTCAACTGAAACATATGCTGTAACTATATTTTTAACATATATCACATAGCTTGCATAAAAATCATAGAAAGAAAATGTAAAAACACTACTGTTGTCAACATTTCTAAACACAATAGATTTGAAATACACAGAACTAAGATTACTCTTTCATAAGATGTTGGTATTATTAAGTAAAAAGTATAGTTTAACCTTAAAGGTAGGAGGGAAAGAAATACTGATTTTAAAATATATAAAATATGATGTTGTTTTTTTTTAAATAGTGCTGTTTAAAAAACTGAATTACCATTTGTCAATATTAAAATATATTTTCAAAAAAGAAAAACCAGCATGAACTCACTCATTTCTCTTAATGGGATGCAGTCCTGCAGTTACGGCCATTGTCCATCAGTTGTTGTGAGTTACCTGCTGAATTAAAGGAGAAAAATTCACATTTAAAAATTCTGAATACTATTAATTTATCATGTATTATTGGTTGGTCTTACTGTTATTAGTTGCATAAAAAAAGAAAGGAAAACATATGCAGTATAAGATATATACCATCATATTTCCTGTTCTTATTTTACAAATACTTGAGAAGTAGAGAGGCAGTTTCCATTAACATGAATAAAAATAAACACACTGCAAGTTTACCTTAGTAATTTTAAAGCATTGTGACATCGATGATTTATTCTTGCAGCTCCATTGTGACATCATGACTAGAAATGTATTTAGTAGCACACAGCCTTAATGCAGGGGAAATGAACACACACATACAAAATACATACATTTCTTTGCTCTTGTACAATATGTATATGAAATGTACAGTAACAATCTCGTATATATATATAAATCCAGTTTAATCTTTTGACTGAAAGTTTGGTTGTTAGCATCACCCAATTGATCTGACCAAAGCAATGAGGCAACTGGGATGTCATGCATATTTTGAAATTCAGCTCCAATCTTCAAGGGCTACAATTAAAAAACAGTTTGGATAACTTAGAGATTTGCTGTACTGCATGTCCAAAGACTAAATTACTAATATTCTTCACATAACAAAGCAAATAAGAACCAAAATTCAGTATAGTGGAATATGTTTTAAGACCTTACAGGTATATCAAACCACGTGCAGAAGAGTAAGGAGTATTAAAATAAGACACACCTGACAATTGAAAAAAGTAACTAGATTGGATCTTGAAAATTAGTTAGTGGTATTACCTCAGAACTCTTTAAACTAAAAATATCTGATAATCCACATCTTGTAGTCAGTACAGACGTAGAGAAGACCCCCAGCATTCTGAATTCTACTGTTGCTAGGGGGCATTATTTGGCCAGCAGCCATATTATCCTGCAACTCACAACTGTTAACCCACTGAAGCTAAGCAGGTGTGAGCCTGGTTAGTACCTAGATATGATACCTCCTGGGAAAATCTAAGGTTGCTGCTGGAAGAGGTGTTAGTGGGGCCAGCAGGGGGCGCTCACCCTGCGGTCCATGTGGGTCCTAATGCCCCAGTATAGTGACGGGGACACTATACTGTAAACAGGTGCCGTCCTTCGGATGAGATGTAAAACCGAGGTCCTGACTCTCTGTGGTCATTAAAAATCCCAGCGTGTTTCTTGTAAAGAGTAGGGGTGTAACCCTGGTGTACTGGCCAAATTTCCCATTGGCCCTTACCAATCATGGCCTCCTAATAATCCCCATCTATGAATTACGTCAGAAAAACGTTGTTCCATTAAGGACAGGAACGTAACTTTTTGTTCACTCTGTTGTCTCAAATGATTCTAGAGCAGCAGAAAGGCTTAACCTATCAAATTCAAGTAACGTCTTCTGTTGAAATACCACATTTACTGTAACGTACAAAGATATCAGTACGGTACAGTACAGAGATTGTTACTGCGAATATATCAGCGCGACTAAGTCCTATAGAAATTCCATTTTGAACACAAAGCTGATGAGTGATGCATTCTTCGATGCATCGCTAACAACCGTGTAAATACCGCCATCTTGTGGTAGACGTCTTTGTTATTTTCAAGATCAACAAGTAGATGGCACAGAAATAAGACAAAGCTACTCAGGGGTTTATAGAAATTCCTTCTATAGATCTTCAACAAAATGTACACAAGTATATTGATAAAATAAACAAGATTTATGTTCACAGAATATTTCTTATAGTGTTTTCTTATTTAATTTACATTTTCAAATCTGTTTTGAAACCATATACTCTAGATAATACCATTTGGTACACATCTTATTTTTTTGCTAAATATGTTAGCTATTTCAGAATTATGTATTGCAGTTTTGTCTACGATATGACAAATAAACTTAATGTAAAAAAGTTATCTAATCTTTTTAAGTTAACTTTATGGAATTAATAGGTATTGTTTTAATTTTTTTATTGATTTTACATTTTAGTATAATAATCATTTGAATTAGTTTCAAAATATATATATATACATACATACCTAGAAGGTAATAAACAACAACAACCCTAGCAGGTTGTATTGAGACACAATTGATCCTATGTTATGCACATCAACAGATCCAAATTTGTATTCATGAACATATTAAAGGATTAGTTCTTGAAGGCTGGTGGTATGCTATAATAATTTAAAAGTATTAAATTGTATTTAAGCATTTAAAAGAACTTAATAATACAGCCTTACTTAATGTAACAAGAAATTAATATCAGTTTTAAGAAGTGGTTATGATGGTAGACCTTAATTATGATAGACAGTAAAGTTCAAAAGCTCTTTGCTAGGCAGACCTGCAGGATAGCTGCTGGATTTGACCTAGTCTCCACTGTTACATTGAAGCAATGTGCAGAGCAGTTAGTCTTGGTGTTCAGTGATAAATTGTAATCAGTCTGCATCAGAGTAAGATACCCACCTGCTTTAAAACCTCCATTATTGTTCCTGTGCTAAAGAAGGACAAAATAGCTTCTTTAGCTATATATGACTATATTCTTAATTATTATAGACCAGTTGCTCTTACTTCCATTATAATAATAATTCCCTCATAATTCAAACATATGATAATTTGTTACCTCCAAACTAAAGATTCACTTCCCAATCTTCTACAGTTTGCATATAGGGCCAGCAAGTCAGTGGACAATGCTGTTAACATGGGCTGTCACTACATTTCGCAACATCTAGAATGTTTTAGTATTTTAACCCTGCATTTAATACTATCATTCCAGAACTCCTTCACAATATTTTTTTGTTACAGCTGAATGTTCTACCTTTCACCTGACAGTGGATTTCACAAATAGAAGGCAATGGGTGTGGCTAGTCCCTTCTTTGTCAGACTATCTGTTTGTGAACTCTGGCGTATCTCAAGGATGTGTGCTTTCCCCATTGCTCAATTTCTTGTACACCAAATTATTAGTTTGCAGACAACATCACCCTATAGTTCTCATCACTAATGCGCTCAAAAACACCTGGAGCTTATTACCCTTAGAACAGTGGAAATGGTGGTTGATTTCCAGAAACATTCTCCAAAACCTGTCTCCTTTTTATGTTTTATATTTTATTATGTTTTTGTGAACTCCAACACCCTTAAACAGGACATGAATATCACCAGTTGCACAAAGAATGAACAGTAGAAAATATACTTTTTGTACCAACTGAAAGACTTTAGTGTCACTCAAACAGTTCTAACACAGAGCCATTTTTGAGAGCTTTCTGACCTGCTTCTATAACCGTTTAGTTTGGCAATGCATTTGCCTGCTCCAAAGGTAAACTGCAGTGTGTTGTACACTCTGGGGAGAGGGTCATTGGCTGTCATCTGCCCTCAGTTGACAGATTGTACAATTAGAGAGCAAAAAAAATGGCAGAAAATACTGCTGATGTCCACTCCCAGGTAACCACCTGTTTCATAAACTTCCCTCACAAAGATACTACCGGTCTATTAAAAGCCACCCATTATTCTTCTTTCCTGGGGCTGTCTTTTTCCTTCACCAAAATTTCCAGTTATACAGTAGGCTCACAGTCTTGATAATGTCTATTATCTTGTTTGAATAAGGTTTGTGTGAAATGTGTTTGTAGCACCAAGTACATAAAGTCAATTCCTTGTACTGTACATGAAATATACTTGGTGAATAAAGATGATCTGGATTCTGTTTAGAGATACCCATCAGAGATTTTTAAAAACTGAAACGGAAATGGTAGACCTAGATAATGACCGTTTTCTCACAGTTTGTCTGAGCAACTGTTAGAGGAAACACCTGTTTTTAACTAGTCGTTTCAAACAATTATTACAGAATAAGGAAAAATGAGACAAGAGATGTTTTATGAAACTGAGATTATAAAATAATTACCTTTGAAGAGAATTTGAATGGTCCAAGGTACAATTAAAATCAGAAGAGAAGTGATGGCAGCATTTTAAAAAAACTTTGAAGCACAGAAAAGATTCATACAAAGAGAATGTAAATCCAAATCTAGAAATTAGTGGTCCAAATTATTTACTAAATTGCTTAAGAATCTAAAATAGACCAAAAGCACTTTTTAAAACTATTAAAAACAATAATATCCAGTTAAAGAAAATCATAAAAAACAGGGCTGTCCTGGTATCCTTGGTGCATATTGTTAACTTACATGAAAAAAGAATGTAAGATTTCTCATGTCTGAATTCATGTTAGCATTTATGGAAATTCTGGCCAGGTTACGTCACTGACTTTCAACTTGACCCAGTTAATGTAACTTGCTTGCTTAATATTAGCGGACATTACACTACATTCAGCTGGAGTATCCTGCATAAATTTAACTTCATTACTGAATTTCAAAGTTTCTTTTCAATGTTTTCGGTCTTCAGCTTGCTTATTGTTTTTTTTTTGTGACAGACATTAAACAATTGCACAAATGTAACACACTCTTCTTGTAAGGCCACATTTATTACAGGTAATAAACCGACCATGAAGATAAAGTTTGGAAATTACAAAGAGGTCTTTCAGCCATTGAATGCTAGTAGTTGCTTATTGAGCAGTTTCTTTTAAGTCTGTCTATCACCTTCAGCAACATGGCTAAGTAGGTTGAAGAAGTATATATTCTTGATATTCTTCTAGATATATATTCTTGTAGAAATATGTATATATTTATATTTCTACAGTAAATGGTCAAAACTGTACACAAACGTTGCAGATTAAGTCTTAATAATGCATTTAACAATTTTAGCATAACATCCCATAATTTAACTTCTACATTTATAACAATTTATATAACATTGCCTAGAAGTGAAAATGAAGCATCCTAATCATAACAAACAGTTGTTGTTTTTTCCATAGGCAGCCTTACCAAGCTCACTTTTTACTATTTCATATTTTAGCACGCCCATTTGTTTGCAGTGACGTAACCGGAGCCTACAGGCCAATAAAGCGAGCTTTACGGGAGAAGGGTGCCGACCAACATTGACAATAGAGCCAATAGCGAAGAAGGGACTGTATGCTGTTGACACGAGTACCATGCGTCAGCAGAGAAATTGGGTTTACTCTCCAGACAGCAATACTGTCGCAGAAACAGACTTTTTCTGGTGGAAAACTATTGCTGAATTTGACGACAGATAAGCAGAGTCGCAATGTAGTTCAAAACGAACAACTTCATGTCGCTGACGGAAATGCAGTTTTGGCTGGAGCAGCAGCGCCTTTGGCTGCTCCCGTTTGGCTTGGCCTCGGCTGTTTTTATTCTCGTTTACTTTGTGCTGCAGTCCCTGAGGCTGAGAAGTAACGGAGAATCCTCAAATATCCCTCCTGGTCCAAAGCCTTGGCCTCTGGTAGGAAATTTTGGCTTTTTTCTCATCCCGGAGTTTATCCTGAGGAAGTTCAAGGCCGGCGGCGACAAAAATAAAGCGAAAGAACCGGTCTTGTTTTCTCCCCATGTTCTGCTGACTGAGCTGTCCAGGGTTTACGGAAACATCTACAGCATTTTCGCTGGGAACCAGCTGATAGTTATCCTAACGGGCTATGAGGTAGTCAGAGACGCGCTCGTTAACCATTCTCACGTGTTCTCTGACAGACCAGATGTTCCTCTCATCACGATCGTAACGAAGCAGAAAGGTAAGAAATACGAAGTGCCACGTTGGAGGTCAGGTGCATTAGTTCAGATATTACACTGATCCCAAATCATTTCATGCAGTAACTTTCAAATGCGATTATAACAGATAACCCAGATTATTTTGACAGCAAAAGACTTTATATTAATGGTCATTTCCCTGCACTCGCCATCCCGACTAACCCTCTGTCGAATAATAAAAGCTAAAAAAACTTGAGTTGGACAGTATGGTTGGCTATTATAGGTTCATACTCTGAATTAATATTACGTACCTGTAATTGAAAGCATTTAACGAGGAAGACAGAAGGTGTGACTACAAATGAGGCTATTTTATTTCAGGTATAGTGTTTGCACCTTACGGTTCGGTATGGAGGCAGCAACGAAGGTTTAGTCATTCCACCCTCCGGCACTTCGGCTTGGGCAAACTGAGTCTGGAGCCCTGCATCCTGGAGGAGTCGGCTTTCATCAAGAAGGAGATGCTGAGACTCAGCGGAGACGCCGGGGAAGCCTTCAACCCTGCTCCCATCGTCGGCAACGCCGTCTCCAACGTCATCTGCACGGTCAGCTTCGGCCGACGCTTCCACCACCAGGACCAGGAGTTCAGGACTTTGCTGGGCCTCATGTCCAGGGGCCTGGAGATCTCCGTCAACAGCCCTGCCTTTCTCATTAACGTTTGTCGCTGGCTCTACTACCTGCCTTTCGGCCCCTTTCGCGAGCTCAGGAAGGTGGAGTCCGACATCACGGCTTTCCTGAAGGCTATCATCGCCCAGCACAGAGCCAGCTTGGACCCGGCTAATCCCCGTGACTTTATAGACATGTACCTCCTGGAGATGTCTCGGCTGCAGGAGCGGGGCGGAGGAGCAGGAGAGACCAGTTTCAGTGAAGATTACCTGTTCTACATCATCGGGGACCTGTTCATCGCAGGCACTGACACCACCACCAATACTCTACTCTGGAGCCTGCTCTATATGTCTCTGTACCCACACATTCAAGGTATAGAAAGACAGGCTTTGTTACCCAGCAACATTATAAAGATTTACAAAGCTGTGGAGTGGTTACAAGTTTTCTGATAAAAATGACTTTTTTGCTGCACTTGGTATCCTATCCTAATGTATTTTTAGTTTAAAAGGTACCCACAGAATATAATATATAATTATACTTTGATTTTGTTAATCCTTCAAGAACTGAGGGATATGCATTATATATTTCTAGAACATGTTCTGAGTTATACTCGAGTTATACTCGATTCATTTCGAATAGGCCGATTTCTCCTCATAATTTATGACATTGACTCCAAGTCATGTGAATCAGCTGCATCCCAGTATAATCACGAGCTGTAACTAGCATATGAAGGGCTGTCTTTGTTTTTACATTTTTCCTGTGGTTAGTAGAAAACCAGCTTGCATGAAAAACAGGAACTGCAAAAAGACAAAGAGCCAACTTCTCATTAAAAGACATCTTCATCAATTCTCCTCTCTCCCCAACAGTATTTAGTATTTTGGGGCGGAGCGGTGGCTCTGTGGCTAAGGATCTGTGCCTGTGACTGGAAGGTTGCCGGTTCAAATCCCGCGGCCGGCAGAGGAATCCTACTCCGTTGGGCCCCTGAGCAAGGCCCTTAACCCCAACTGCTCCAGGGGCACCATACAATGGCTTACCCTGCGCTCTGACCCCAGGCTTCTCTCCCTGTCTGTGTGTTTTTGTCTCATGGAGAAAAGCTGGGGTATGTGAAAAGACGAATTCCTAATGCAAGAAATTGTATAGAGCTAATAAAGAAACATTACATTACATTAGTACTAGATTCCTGTGTTGGTTACAGTATCATTTGCTAACTCACCTTATCGTTGATGAGAGACCAATTTACTGTGGCTTTAAAGTGAGGAACTACTTAGTAGCACACATACCAACTGCTCCTATTACAAATATAAAGTTCATGCACTGTACTGTCATGCTTTATTCCTGGTATTTCTTTTGCAGAAAAGGTGCAAGCTGAGATAGATTTGGTCGTGGGGCCGGACAGAGTCCCTTCACTAACTGACAAGCCAAGTCTGCCCTTCACAGAGGCTACAATCATGGAGGTACAGAGAATGACAGTCGTGGTGCCTCTGTCTATACCACACATGGCCTCTGAAAACACATGTGAGTACTCTTCAGACAGGTTTGGGAATATTAATTCACAGCAGTTGTGAGAAATTCAGGGTGAATTTTTTAGGCTGCTAATAAAAAAACGTTTCACAAAGTTGCAAACATTTTCCTTGAGTTTCATAACTGTAACATGGAAATATTTGGGGTAACCTATAATTGTCATTTGGAATTCTAAAAATGTATAAAATTCTGGGTTGCTTTCCTCTTTTCACATTTCGTATTATTGTAATTGCATGCCATTTCTTTTTTTCTATTCTTTTGTCTACATTTCCCTGTGTACAAAATAAGGATCTAAAACATTTTGAAAATGTCCTCATTATTTGGAATTATGATACAAAATGGCATTTTACTCTGATGCACATCAGATGAGATTTGATCATTTTTGGGCTGTTTAATGAACAAATAATGGAGACTGAACAGTAAACTTTCCAGATGAATTATCTGTTTGGCAGAATGCAGGATATATAGAAATAGGTTACTACATGTTCTCTATGAGTCAGCTCCTGTAGCCTTTGCAAATATGCAGATACATTTTTCTTAGAAGAAACTACTGGATCTTTTTAACTCATTCCAGCCTCTTTGCTGAGTATTGATCTTAAAAATATTTTAAATATGAACAAAAGCAATATGACAGATGAGTGGACATGCGAGCTATTCTGTTAGCTAAGGTCAATGATCCCAGGTTTCAGATAATCTTGGTAACTCAGGGCTGTGTTTTTATAGAGTGCTGTTTCACCTTCAAATCTAGGTGCCACTTGGAATGCAGTGATTAGTTTGTAAAAAATACTAAATGTGCAGTTTTCATTGGATAGGTAAGGAAGCCAATTCTACTCTCCAAAGGGTAAGCATGAAAGCAAAAGCAGGTTGTCCTAAATAAGGAAGCTACATTTTACCGAGACAAATATAATTACGGAAGAAGTATAGAGGAATCAGTTTCATTTAGAAAAAACAAACATCTAGTAATCAAAAAAATGAAGACAGGGGAAAAAATGGTAAATAAAGCAGTTTAATTAATAAAAGTTTGTTTATGAATGTACTCAACTGTAGTAGTCTTTAATAGATGTAATTAACACATCAGGCATAAGAAAAGACTGCAGAAATTTAAAAAAAGTCTCAGGATGCGAACAGTGCTAAAGTGGAGTGGTATGGTGCACGGCAGCACAGCAATTAGCAGAGGAATGACAACTAATGTCTGCTTGGTTTTTCTATTATTGTTTAAGATCATTCTGATCTGTGAAACATGTCATGCCATGGTTTGACAATACTTACAGTATAAGTAGCTCTAGCAGTGGTTGTGAATGCGACACAGCATTTACTTAAACACAAACATGATGTCATCAGTTATACTAAACGTATAGTTCATGTAGGGTTGTTATTTATATTGGCCAGTTTAAAACCAGTAACCTACTGGATGAATTTGTTTTGAATTTCAAAGATCTATATTTGAATCAAACCTAAAATTGAACATTTTACAGGTAAAGTCCACACCTGTCTGCTATAAGTCCAAAGGCTTGCCCACTATGCCATTCTGCCTCCTTATAATTTGGTACCCCAATAAATCATCATAAAACAAACAAGTGTACAGTTGTGCGACTACTTTCTATACATACACGTTGAAGTCTGCTAACAATATTAGGTGGTTTTCAACCATAATTCCTCAGAATTAATGTGACAAAAATATGTAGTATGTGATCGTAACACCAGCAGTATTGAAGCTGAGAATAAGAGACACCCTGAAAACTCCTCTGAATTGAAATGTCATCTTGCATTTTCACAAGACCATTTTTTTTAATTGACATTTTAATCAGGACATCAGACCCGACTGACCAGACAAAAAGTGTCTATGTGCTTCAGATCTCCTTACAAAATACAGTGTCCACATTGTGACGTGACAGTTTGTTTTACACGTTCACAACAATAATCACTATTTACAGATGTGCCTCATGTCATCTGTTCTGTCCATGTGTTAACTTGTTTCCCCAATTAACAACCACTGTTTCTATATATAAATATACAATATATACTAACGTGTACATTTTACCATTACTGTTGCTTTTATATAGCCTTCCGAGGATACACAATCCCCAAAGGAACTGTGATTGTTCCAAACCTTTGGTCTGTGCACCGAGATACCGCAGTATGGGAAAAACCTGATGACTTTAATCCCTCAAGATTCCTGGATGAAAATGGACAAATTCTTAAAAAAGAATTCTTCATCCCATTTGGAATAGGTAATCTTTTCACACTTCAGAGTTGCTGTTATGAAAGATTTTTCAGGTGATTCAGCTCGCACCTTTCAAGCTTGGATCACAAAGTTACAAACACATCAAGAATATTAAAGTGACACATTTTTTTAATTGCTGGTTTGGTTTCCAGCCTTATTGATCAGAGGCTTTCAAATTGTGTGGAGTGTGTTGGACAAGATGGCTGGCTAATATCAATGGAGAGCAGCTGCAAAATGAGACACAGCTGATTTGAATGAGTAATTGGTACACAAAGTGAGTGGAATTGTGCCCTTGTTTGTCGAGATAGGTACTGGGTCCACCACAGTTTGAAAATGTAATATTATATCATTTTTATGTTTTAAATAAAGTAAGTTAGCTTATAGCTTGAAATGTAGAGAGGTCTTTTTGTGTCAAGGAGGGTGTTTGTGTTTGGCAGAAGCACAAATGCTTTTTAATTTCCACAAAAGGAGCAACTAATCCTGTGGCTTAAATGTCAGAAAAATTAGACACTCTGCTCTTTACTAAAAAAATGTTCACGTCCAGATGGGAATGTGGTTTGTGAGGTAGAGCAATATCTCGCATCTTTTTCAAATTAAATCAGTAAAACGTCTCTTAAATGCATTTTCATTTGTTTTCTGAAATCGTTGTGGTACGATATCTCCTGTGCTGCAGTGGTCTATAACAGTGAAGGGCAGGTGTATATTGTGTCATCTAAAAACATTGCAATGTTTTGCTATAAACCAGTTCTGCCAAAAAAACGACAGCTTGTTCATTCCAGAGTATGTCTGTTTAAACACATCTATTGAGGGAGTAGGGCTTTAGCAACAAACTTGCACCCTGTAGTCTCGGAAAACATAGCATATGGTATTAAATTTCCAGTATATTGCAATGATTTTGTTTGCTGCAGCACGTCAGTAAATTTTGAATGCAAAGTGCAGAAATGGATTCTTTAGGAACTTTCATACCTGTCTGGAACTCAGGAGGGCTGCCTGCTTGCAATATACCACTGCTATCTGGCTATGTGTGGAGATGACGGGGATTATAGTAAAGCTGTGATTTTTGTTTTCTCTCTAGGCCGCAGGGTGTGCATGGGTGAGCAGCTGGCCAAGATGGAGCTCTTTTTGCTGTTTTCTAACCTGATGCAGGCCTTTTCTTTCAAACTCCCACACGGGGTTCCCCCACCACCAATGCACGGAAGGTTTGGCCTGACGTTGGCTCCATGTCCCTTTACTATCTGCATAATTCCTCGTCAAAAGATGTCCAACTGAACACCTGCAGGAAGACATTAATATAATGGTCCAACCTCAACCGGTGTTGAAATAGAGCTGTTTTTGGAGAGGGATGCAGCACACACAATTGTCTGACGATGGAAGAAAGCCCAAAAGAGAAACCAGAAGAAAGAAGACATTTAATTTTGGTTTTCATAGTTCCAGTATGTCATTTTGATTCTGACTACACTGTCTTGTTGACAATCCCTGTTCCTTTAAAAAACAAAACAGCAGAATCTTCCATACTCATACCACAGGGAAAAAAAAGCTTGGTTTAACTTTGTATCTGAAAAAAACCTACATTTGGTGCCTCTCTTACATATGTGATGGGCTAGCTCACATGTATTTTCTGGTTTAAAATAGAGCATCACTTATGGTATTCCTTCATTAATTTTTTTAGATTGAAATATCGCAAAAATATCTGTCATTATTTTGGTTAATGCTGTTATACAGCTGGGCATTTTACAGAAGCATTTAATGTAAAGCATCCTGTTTAAGGTTAAAATAGAAGTGACCCATCTGAGATCTGAACCCATAACCCATTACAGATTAGAGTCCTAACCAATATCAGTGCCTGATAATTGGTCTGTCATTCAAGTACAACCTACAGTATGCTCAAACAAAATTGAGATATTGAGTTCAGATGACTACCTGGGTAGTAAAGCTGTGACATTTTAACTTACCTTAGATAAGTTTATACTTTTGATTGCTCCAAGGATATATACAGTGCATATCAGAGCAGAAGATTAAGCACTTGCTCTGAAATAAGTGGTTACATGGGAATGTTTTTTTTCTGTTTGAAAATAGTACTTGATGAGTAGTTCAGAAAAAGCATTTACAATCAATCAAGATGTGGAAGGAGACATCATTCCAACTTTGTGTCTTGAAACTGGTATTGATATATCAATTAACTTTCTAGTTCAATCATATAACCTGTTTTAGTGGTGAAGAAATTCAATGACAGGCGTAAATTTGATGTCTCCTACTATACTGTTTTGCTAGATAATTACTTTCAGATTTCCTTCTGAATTGTATTTGCTGCTCAATTTAAAAAAAAAACAATAATGCTTATGAGTAAATAATGTGTGGAGACTTTGAATTGATGTACCATGCAATGTTCCAAAAACCTAAACTAAAACCTGTGCAGTGTCTTTACTTCCAGGTTTTAGCATATTAAATGCACTTTTTTATACCAAAGGTAAATTCATACTTTTGGGACAATTTCAAAGCAAGCACTTAAGCACCTCTCAAATAAAAAACAAACAAATCATTGTTCATTCTAAAAAAAGTTTTGTTGTTGAGAAGATCCTGTTTAACAGATGTGTAAAAAATTATTTTAATAAAATATTTTTGACTGCACAATAAAGGTAAATAATTTTACTTGATTAACAATTTAAGAAAGCATTCTCTGAACCGAGATTATGACAGGAAAATGTCGGCAGCTTTCACCATCGACCGTCCTCCTACTTTCTGAGTGCGACAGCAAGCCCTTCCAGACAATTACAGTGAATCGAGCAATTTCCCACGGTGAGTATTTACAAAGAGGTTTAATATTTTGACAACTTCGCCCTTCTAGTGTTAAGCCTGTGGTCATATGAGCAAAATCGACATCTGTATTAATAATAATGTATTTGAAAACTCTAGGCTAGAATAACTGTTATGAAATTTCCACTTTAGCATTACGTACAACAGGTATTCAAAAGAACCTTTTTAATATAAGATACACAAAATCAGACAGAGCTACGCGAAGTATTTTTTTGTGTGTGAAATTACCAATGCACGCATCCAGGTTCCTGTACCTTGGATATTTACAGATGAAATGACATAGGTTAATCCGATGAAGTATTAACTAGATTGTGTGCTAAAAGGTCGCCAAGCTGCGCGGCTGTGCGCTCATGTGACCAGGGCCCGGAGTCTGACCTTCCCACTCCTCCGCGCTGCGCGCTGTCTCGGCTGGCGGAGAAGTGCGGGTTTGTCTGCGCTGCAGAGCAGGACTCGGCCCAGCCTTCACTTCATCTGCGCTTGAGAGAAATCATGGCTTTTGTCACTCACCAGATCATAAGGAGCCTTTCTTCCTCCGCCGTCAGAAGTGGCGTTATAAAACATGTCACGATTATCGGCGGCGGGCTGATGGGTGCAGGAATCGCGCAGGTAAAATTACCGTAAAACTGAACTGAAGTTGCAGCAGCTGGGAAGCTCGTTTTTATAAGGCCCCTCGCAGTCAATGCAGTGTGTAGTTTACTGTAACCGCTGTACCTTGCATTGTGTTGTGATTCAGTATTATCATAAGAAAACTGCTTACGATTTCTTATTTGAGTAATATCCTGATCCGTTATACACTTGTAAAATTAATTGTTTTGGTATTTGTTCTTGTGATTTTACAGTATCTGTGTGCACCGTCTGCAAGTTTGCAAATGAAGTGTGTCAAAGTTGAACATGGGTTAGCGCTGTTTGCCAATTTTCTTTGACCGTATTTATGCAGTTCAGTTTCTTGAAATGTCGAGAATGCGGACATATCACTGATATTATCCGTTCAGTGTGCTTAGTTCGTTATCTTTCAGTCAACAAAAATGTGAATTTTTCAAATTGATTTCACGTGTTGATGCTTTGGTTTGAGTAATTGGGTTAGGAGAAGTGACGCTTACCGTATCTTTGAAGCGGATTTTAAATATAAAGTTAACTCTCTGCGATCTTTTTTCATTTAAAAGTTATTTGTATTGCAGTTGACTTTGTCAGATTTATCTCCGCTGATACGCCCCTCAGTTTTTTTCATCTAAAACATGAATTATGAATTCCTACTTAATCGGGTCACCGGTATCAGCAAAAACATACAGAAAAGCTGGCAACGCACCGGTAGTACTGTCGTTTACTACAACAGTATCAAATGTGTATAGACCTCATGATGATTTTCAGTTACAGGTAGTTCTTGATGGCAAGTGCTCTTCATTTGCACGTTTGTGGTTTTACGTGCCTGAAAAAAAATACAGTTTCTTAATTTAGGAGGAAAGCTGTAACTACATTAGCAGGAGCTCTATGCAAAGGGACATATTTTCCTTAAACATGTTGTTTATTCTAATTAATATTTAATTCGGTGCTTGATTTGTTCAGGTGCGACAGTGTACACCAATGCTTTGTTCGTCGAGCGCAACCGATAATATTGAAAAGTTGGGGCCTATGTGTAACATTCACCATGTAAACTAATGAAATGATCAAATAAAAGTCAACAATTAATAAGAAGCTAAAACCCTAAATAAGAAAAACATTTTAGTGTTACTTAGGAGACTTTAAAATGAATGTAATTTAAAAAGGTTCACGGAGAGTAAAAGGACTGAAGACAGTTTTACAGTCCAGATTTTGCACACCGTTCAAAAAGTTTGTGAACTGCTTCCATTTGTACCTCCCTCAAATGTGTTGGACAGAGATCTGGAGATTAATGGCCAATTAAGAAAATTGATTCTGTATTCCCTTAACCATATATTACTACATTTGGAGCTTTGTTTTCAATTGTTATACCTTTGTAAAGTCCTTTTATGACCAACCTTAGAAACATTTTAGAATGGAGAGAAAGTCTTTTAAAAATAAAATATACTGTTATGCTATTGCTATCCATTCTTCAATGCCTTAACTTTAACAAGCACAGCAGGACCAGGGGATGTAAAACAGCCCCAAGGCAGGGCATGTTAATTAATGTTTGTTCGTTATAGATGGGATCCAGTTCTTTTTCAATATGAGGTTCATCTTTCTGTACTAATCACCCTCCTGGTGGGGAAGTCTATCATTTAGCCAGTGCTGCTGTACCACATAACTCAGATTCAAATTCAAATGTTACTTTTTGAGTGTTGTGAAGATTCACAACTGTTGCCTGTACACCTGGAGAAGAGAAAATATTGCCAGGTGCTCTTTCTGGTGGACTGTAAACAATTTCATTAGCCTAAAAGAACACCGTCTTTGAAACGGAGGTGTCTAATACATTTTTTTAGCCATCGTTATTGTTGTTGAGATTGGTGTTCTTTGATGATCTTCCAACAATTCTTTGTACTTTTAGGTTGCTGCATCAACGGGCCACTCTGTAGTGCTGGTGGACCAGTCAGAAGATATACTAAAGAAGTCCACCAAAGGCATTGAGGACAGCCTGAAGAGAATTGCCAAGAAGAAGTTTGCAGACAAACCTGAGGTTAGTTTGTATTAAATAGATTAAATAAGAGAGAAGCAGTAGTTACCAAATGTAGGCATTGATATCCAGATGTCTAGTCCTTTTCTAGGAATTGTGTCTGAAGCGTAGAGAGATGTTTTATTGCACTTTCAGCAATGCAGAGAACTCTTTCCTGGCTATCTTTCAAGAGCACAGTTTGGAAGCAAGAGGCCATTTGGGCACTCAAGCTTATTTGGTTTCTGGTAGCTATTTGATTGTAGGGTCTCTTCCATAGGCTTCCTGAGTGAAATGTTGGTATTGACCACATGACTAGGTAGCTTGTTATAGACACGCACAAAATAACGGTAGTATTTCTTTTGCATATGTACAGTACAGTTAAGAGTTTTTCCAGTGGAATTAGATTTTCTGGCATGAATAATACCGACCATCCTTCCATTTTCTGACCGCTTGTTCCAGTTAAGGGTTGTGGGGGAGCCGGAGCCTATCCCAGAAAGCAACGGGCACAAGGGGGAATACACACCAGACAGGACCACCAGTCCATTGCAGGGCACACACAGACGCAGACACACACACACTCACACCTAGGGTCAGTTTTCCCAGAAACCAGTTAACCTACTAGTGTGTTTTTGGACTGTGGGAGGAAACTGCAGCACCGGGAGGGAACACAGGGAGAACATGCAAGCTCCACACAGATAGCACCCCAGGTCCAGAATTGAACCCACAGTGCCTGGCGTTGCTAAGTAGCAATGCTCCCCACCATCATGCCTCCCTGACTAATAACTTACACGTTGATATTCTTGGCACAGCTCACATTGTTTTTTATTTAAACTTTTCTACCTCGTGTAGCCATTGGATATTTGGCAGGTAAAACAGCAGTCTCCCAAAACAGGCTCCCAGTAGTTTGCTAGTGTTCATCCCTATCTTTCCCGAGTACGTGTTCATCAAACCTGGGTTTATAAGTATTCAATTCAATTCAACTTTATTGTCATTAAACTTACACAGGTGCATAGTATAATGAAAAGTGTTTCTCATTAGTCACTCAGGTGCAGTATATAAATAGGACAGAAGATAAGACAATAGACAGTTACACAATAGCAATAACAGTAACATGTAATAACATAACATAAATAACATGTAATCAAGTAATCAAAACTGTGCAAAATTCTGCAAACAGAGAAAATTTAACAGGACAAAAACAGTGCAAGGTAATTCTTGGAACAGTGCAAACAAAAAAAAAAAGTAGCATGAAGTAGTATGTAAGTAGCAAATCTGAGAAGTTATCAACAGAATATATATCTCTCGCCTCACAAGTAGCAATAATTTAGACCAGGAATGGGCAGTCCTGGTCAATGGGCCAGTTTGCCTGAAGATTTTCTATGACTCGTAAAAACACCAGGACCAGTAAAGCCTGGAGAAATTATTAAACTGGTGGTATTGGGACAAATAATGAGCTGATTTAGGTCATTACGAGGGTGGCTGCAATGAAAGCCTGCAGGTGTACTGGACTTCAGCCACCAGGTTTGCCCATCGCTGCTCTAGAGACTCAAGTTCTTCTCTTCCTCCTTGTAGGAAAAGAGTTAGTGCTGCGATTTCTCTGCTTCACTAATGTGTTGTTTTGGGGTTTCCCAGGCGGGGGCAGAGTTTATTCAGAAGGTCCTGAAGAATGTCACCACCTCCTCAGATGCTGCATCAGTGATTCACAGCACTGACCTGGTACTAGAGGCCATTGTGGAGAACCTGAAAATCAAGCAGGATCTCTTCAGTGGGCTAGACAAGTTTGCCCCAGAGTGAGTCCCGATTATATAACTAGAAAGTGTATATTTCAGCTTTTCCCTTTGTTATTGCACAGTTATACATATTGTAAAATTTTTAGTACAAGTTATTATTCTCACAGTGGTAAGGGCTCTTATGAGTGGCCAAAACATCCATAGGAATCTACTTACATATACCGTGGTATTCAGTACAGTTAGATTTTCAGAAGCCTGCTTATTAAGGTCCTCATGAAGGATGAATTTTCAAATTGGAGCCTGTAAGCTTTCAAGTAATGCTCTTATTTAGATTGTGAACTGGTGAAGGAATAAAAAAACGAAGATAAGGGATAAATGCTCAGTTGGGGGGGGGGGGGGCATAATTATTGGAGTATAAAACATTAACCATAGAAATAAAATAAAAAAAGGCTGAGCTTAAAGAAACCATCAGTGCAAAAAACATGGGTTTTTGTGTCCATGCGTAATTTTCATTTGTACTTAGACAAGAAGGGAAAGCAAAAGGTGAACAAATATAAGATATACATTTACAAATGTGCGATTTAAATCAAGGGCTTGTGTTAAAAGTCTGCTATCCAGTAGTAATTTTATTCACCTTTAGAATATTGTGCACTGTAGTGGTCATTACAAAAATATATTGCTGCTCTGAAATCAGTCCAGTGAAGATCAACCAGATCCACTTCTTTGGTTTAAAGGAATGCCGTACACTGACAGGCAAAATTCACTTTTTAGTCTTGGAGCAATTAAAACTACGAAGGTGGTTCTTCAGAATCAACAATGAAAAATGAACCAGAGGATGCAAATGGAAACTATAGGGTAGTGCATTTAAAATCAAAATGAGGCATTTCTTGACACAGAGGGTTGTGAAAGTTTGAAACAAGCTGCCCAGGATGGGCTCTCGTCTAGTTTGTAGCTTTTCTTATGTTCTTAAGAGGGGAAGGATTATGTAAAAAGCTGCAGTCAACTGAGTTCATAGCAGCTTTCGACTTGAACCGCTTGACACCTTCTGACCCATTAACCCAACATAGCCCAAATGTCTCACTTGACCTTAGCAACTGTTTTCATGACCTGGTTTCACAACAGATTCCAGACAGGTAATTGAGAGTCAAATCAAATATGAATATACAGTGTATTCTAAATCTGTATTTGGTTAACACTAACACTTCTAATGCAACATGTTAAGGCAAATTACTGTAAGATAATCTGCATTTGGTGCTGTTGCTGTGATGACAATAGTTAATGTGTTTCCCATTAGAATTTTGAAGAGATGAATGTTAAAAATGTTAAAAATCATGACCAATTGAAAAGTTGTTGAAGTAACGCCACTGTTTGTCCTCTTTTCCAGTAGCAGTTTATTGTAGGACCTCGACAGGTTCTAGTTAAATACGTTTTTTCAAAAAGCAATGCAAGTTCAAAAACACTGTGCATCTTTGGTTATGAATTTAAGATTTTATCAATCAGGTATTACGTTTACAAGCTGTTTTATCGAGAGTGTTACAGGATGATGTCTGTTTCCTTCCTTCTTCTTTCCAGTCACACTATATTTGCCAGCAACACCTCTTCGCTGCCCATCACTGACATAGCCAATTCAACCTCCAGACAGGACCGGTTTGGAGGACTTCACTTCTTCAACCCGGTGCCTTTAATGAAACTTGTGGAAGTAAGTGCACAGTCACAGCAGTGTAGGAAGTCAGCATCATTCTGCTGTGTATTGCCGTGGGACCACTGATGTCCATTTGCCCGATCTTTAATGTGATCACATTTGAGAATTTGAGAAGTTGTAAAAGAAAAGTGTAACTCCTCTGTTCTGAGCAAAAAAAAAAAGGAGAGTAGTAAAAGACAAAGACATAAATATTAAAAGTCCTGCTTGTTGCAAAGAGTGCTGCAAACAAAAGGGAGAGATGTATTTTTTAAATTGGTGTGTAATTGCTAGAGCTCTGGGCTAAGGACTGGATGGTCATGGGTTCATCCCTGGGTTCATTGTTGCGTCTTTGAGGCACAAGGTATTTCATTCAAACTTGCTACCATAAATGCATCACTATAGACACTGTATATCACTCTTGAGATCTAGGTGATCTTTTGTAAATGCAAATTTGTTTTCCCATGACATGTTCACTTCCTGGTTAACTAAATGATCTTAACTATGTCTTAAAATAAGGAAAGGCAAGACTTGTTTTCACGTTTTGGATTTGAGCAATAGCTAATCACAGTATATCAAACGGGTAAATCCAGCATTAAACCAGTGTGTACTGTATGTGATAGTGGATGAGAAGCCTGTTGCTCATAGTGGGGGTATTTTTAATTGATAATGTCTTAGTCTATGTTTTAAAATGTTGTTGAATGTCTTATTGGAAGTTGCTGTTTAATATTTGTTTCTTTTATATCTAGGTCATTCGAACACCAATGACTAATCAGAAGACCTTTGACGCTCTTCTGGAATTCAGCAAAGCTCTGGGGAAACATCCAGTTTCTTGCAAAGTAAAGTTTTATTTAAATATGTATTATTGGTTTTTAATCACAGAAAGGAGCAGTCTCTCATAAGTATGCTGCAGGCTGTGGAGGATGTTTGATTAGAGCAGTGAGAATGAAAGTCACCCACGTTGAAATACTGGCAGTCAGTACTGCCTAGTCCCCATGTCTGAAGACACTGGTTCTACTACTGTTTAAAGTTTCCACAAATTTTGAATGATAAAGAATTTAAGTGTTTTAACAGTCAGCCATGTTAATTGTCCAAAATAATTCACACCTGATGCTTCAGTTGTCTTGTTTTTTATTGTTGAGATTTTGGTATTTTGGAAGATCAGCCAGTATTAATGTTTAGTCAATCAGGGCCTTAAGTGGCAGTGTGACTGGCAGGTCCTTTTTATTACATCAATTAACACCACTGTTTAAAAACAATGATAGGTTTGTTAGTGTACACTGCTTCTACAAATTGCTCTTGGTACATGTTTGCTTTATTGGAAATGTATATTAGAAGAATTTTATTTATCCCAAACCTCATCAGCATGTTTATTTTTGTTCTTCCAAGGATACTCCTGGCTTTATTGTGAATCGTCTGCTAGTTCCATACATGATGGAAGCCATTAGGCTACATGAGAAAGGTAAATCTGTCATTCTGGCGTCACCTGAAGAAATCTCTACAGGTGAAATGTTGCATCTCTTTTCTTTTCCTTTCAGCATGGAATAACTTTTACCTGTTCCTTATCCTGCTGTAGGTGTAAAACTGCCAGAACATTAAAAATTGAAATATTTAGTTTGTTCTCTGCTTATATAAAAATGTTGGTTCCCTATCGCTGATAGTCTAAATGACTCGCATTGTACCGATTAATGATAGTGACTTTTTACGAACATTCCTTTATAAGGCATTCTTAGTTCTATACGGACCAAAAATTTAAATGATAAACACCCGTTCATTGACACACAGAACACTTAAAATGAGAGGAAAATGGGTATGTTGTTCAGAATTAATGCTAATTACTAACCTGGAAAGTACAGAATGTTCATCTTCGTTACTGCTGCATCTTATTAATGCTTACACTTGGAGAATGAGTGAAGTATCGTGGGATGTGAGTCTGAATCCATCTTCTGTTCCCAAGGTCATGGATCAAAGGAGGATATAGATGTTGCCATGAAGCTGGGAGCTGGCTACCCAATGGGCCCCTTTGAGCTGCTGGATTATGTTGGGTTGGACACCTCTAAATTTATCATCGATGGCAAGTATAATCTTTTGGGGAGCAGTGGTAGAAAGTTAATATTTTTGCGAGGGGGTTAGGGTTAAAATATAACAGTGTATGATTAATCAATAACTTGTTCACTTTCAAATCCAAGTACCTTCCTCTGTCTTGAAGGTTACCCCCTTAATTGTTTTCTAAATTCTGGAGTCTGCAGGTTTGAATTACTTCTCTAATTTTCACTGTTAACAGTCTCTCTGTTCAATAAATATGTAGACTTCATTTGTAGAAAGAACAAACTGCGAACCAAGACATTTTTGTTAAAAGTTGTGTGTAGCTGGCAGAGTGGCACAATAGTTAGCATTGCTGCCTTGCAGTTCGAGGGCCCTGGGTTCAATTCCTGGGGTACATTTGGCGTGCAATGTGTGTTCTCCCATGATCACATTAGTTACTCTAGATGTATAAATAATGAACGAAGTGGACATTTTTTCCCACATTTGAAAAATAAAAATATGTATCTATCTAAACGCTGGGGCCCTGGGTTCAATTCCAGACCTGGAATGTGTTCTCTCCATGTTCTTGTGGGTTTTCTCCAGGTGCTCCAGTTTCCTCCCACAGTCTAAAGGCATTTTGGTTGGTTAACTGGCTACTTGTAAGATTGACCCTGGTCCGTGCCCGTGCCCTGCAATGAACTGGTGTCCCATACTCCCCCTGCTTGCTGGGTTAGGCTCGGCATTCCCTGCGACTAGTATTGGATAAGGCGATTTGGAAAATGGCTGGATATATATGTCAAAAATGTCACTTTGTGATGCTCTAGAACCCTTCAAAACTGCAGAACAACCCACAGTAATATTTAGGAGGGCTTAAAAATGTGTATTGTTCTCGGTTTTATTCTGAGAATTGTTGTGGTTCTGTGTTGCAGGCTGGCATGAAAGGGATCCAGACAACCCCTTATTCGCTCCCAGCCCCATGCTGAATCAACTCGTGGAGCAAGGGAAGCTGGGGAAGAAGACTGGAGAGGGATTCTACAAGTACAAGTAACAGGCGGCCTTCCATAACGGCTAAGGGGCTGCCTCTCTTCCGCCCTTTAGAACGCTGACATTGGCTTGGAAAGAGAAAAGGGACAGCGACTGAAAGTAAAATGTGAAAGGTGCTGTGAATCTGAAGGGGGTGTGTTGCGCTATGCATTCGAAGGTTGTATTGTTGTCGCACTTATGAAATTTCAGGTGCAGCCTCGGTGCCTTCTGAAGCACTAAAATGAAACGTTGTTGTGGTGGAACTTCTTTGCCTTTTGTTGTTCTTCTGGATGTCATCTTTGTGACTGACGTTTTTGCAGGTGTTTGTGTCATTAAAGGTTCATTGAAGATACTTGTGTTGCCTACCTAATATGTTTTATGTTTTGACTCCTAATTTAGTGAATTGGTACATTTTCTCAAGCATAGGGGGTTACTCATCATTTGAAGTTAACTTTCTGTGTTCATTGGTTATGCGTTTTTTGTCTTTCATTGTTGTGGGGCTACTTCTGTATTTGAGCAGGGTTTCGGTTGAGAAATGTACAGGTCTGCGGGAAAAGCTATTAGTCAATAGCAGCTCAACCTAACAAAAAGGAATCTACCAGCTTCTTATTGTTTTATTCTTCTGGCATTTAAGTTTTAAAGATTTTGAAGGGCAGTGAATGCCCAAAAAGACAGTAGTGAATTTTAGTCTTTTAGTAAAACATAATATGTTCCTAGTTTAGTGGTCTTTATCAAAGGCTGCCTTTTTGTATAAACTGTTTCATTTAAAAATGTTGACACCAATATATGCATATAGATTGGTACACTTAAATTTGTGCATGTGTTGTTGTAAGTCTCAAAATATGTTAATGATGTGTGAGGCTCTAGTTCTATAAGTGAGACTAAGCCCTTTTAAACAGTATGTAGTCTATGGTAGAATAAGAAACGTCATTAAGATGCAGTTGGAGAGTAGGGCCACAAGAGGGCGAGGTGGCATCACAAATAAAAGCAGAGGCAGGTCCTTGACTCAACTGGATTTAAGCATCTGGTTTTGTTTATGCTGACTTGTGACTTTTGTGAAATCACTAATTACTTCTACGACTTTTCAGAGATGCCTTTTGTATTGATACACTTTGGCAAATTTGATTTTGTCTGGCACAAGCTCTTTAAAAAATGACGAATGAAAAAAACATCTGCCTCATTTTATGACACTTTCTGAAATGATGGCCTCGTGTGTCACTGGTTGGAACAGGAGTAATATCTTTGGTACTGGGGAGGTGCCCGAACCAGAGGGTGGGATGAGGGGAGATGCAGATATCTTGAAATGTGCACTGTAATCCCCAGAGCAGAGGTTAAAAGTATCATGCTCTGGGATGCCTTATTTCAGACTGTTTATTGTTCCATCTTGGTCCTTCATAATTACATTAATTAAGCTATTTTCTTCCCTCCATTTCCTTATCAGTCCTTAGCAGACCCTTCATAGATGGAGGAATACAGTTTAAGGAACAGAAGTGAGTACCACTGGACATAGCCAAGTACAGATCATTTTTCCTATTACTGTACTTATTACATAGCCTGTTTCTTGTTTTACAGGATTGTTTTCTTTGTACAGTAGGTTAAATGTGATATTAAGTAATCCAGTATAGTGCTTTTCAAAATATGGCAAAAATTTGTAAGCTAAGAGGCATACTGCTGTATTGGTGAACCTTAGACTAGTAAGACAAATATATCTGGCCTACATACACAGATCTTTTTATACTACAGAGCAGTATGAGGAGAAAAATCTAAAAAATAAATAGTTTTTTGTAATAGTACCTTTTTTACCATTTAATAACAGTGCAATCAGTTAATAACCTTATTTTAGTTCTTTCTAACAAATGGTCATTTAAAATTGTACCAACCTACAAACTTGGATTTTGAAACTGTACTGTCCCAACATGTAGGTGTATAAAAAAATAGATGTTTGAAAGTGGGCTAGTCATCCTAGAAACTGTGCCTTAAACACACTTAAAAATATATATATTTATATTTGAAAACTAAGTACTTGCAGGCCTTGAACAATATGTTTTGGCATGAGCACATTGTCTCTGAGTCTGTCACAGTGTCATGATGAGAATTTAATTGCCCTTCCCATTCCTACTCATAATTCAATCAGAAATTCAATCAACAGTTACCCATACTCAAGCCGTTCCTTATCTGGCATTTCTAATTGCTGGATGTCTCACTTGTGGAAGGACAGACCACCCATGATATTGACCAGTCCTGCTTTTGAGGCTTTAATCTCAAAATGGTAAAAAAACCTTTGTGAAGAAGTGTAGTGAAATTCAGGATATTTCACCATGTGATAACTGCAGCCTTGCTGGGATCTGTGGGTAAGAAACAGCGCAAAATTAACACACGCTTTTAAATTATTCAAAAATGTATTCTCTTTGATGGCTGGCTGGAAACAGCTCGGAGACCTGTTTTATAATGGCAGAAGAAAGCTGACCAAGGCTAAAGGGATATCTGTCAACCTGCAACGCCTCTCTACTTATAAGTGTTCTTGTAAGACAATGCTGAGGGCAAGATCATAGCATCAAAGGTGCCATATTAAGTGATGAAAAGAGCTGAGGAACATGGAGGTTTGGCTAATCTGCATTTGTCCAGCACAGCAAAGTGAATTATAATTGATTCAACTCATCCTTCTGAGACTGAATACATTGAGTGGGAGAGGTAGAAGAATGGAAGGAAAGATCTATACTCAGTGTTCTATCTTTAATGTGACCAAACAGCAGGTTTACATCAAGATTTAAATGACTGTTCCTTCAGCGCTTTGAAGTCATCTCCACATTTCAGCTAAGGCCATTCAGAAATGAACTGCCTGTTCTTTTTGCGCTGCATCAGAAGTGTAATTAAAGAGTCAGAATTCAGTGGAGATGGTTAAAAGTGTGTACTCTTCTTAGGAGCTGCTCTGAGTGAGATTCCAAGTTAGAAGATGGTGTGCAGTAGCTCCTGTACTGTAAAAGTGAAAAACAGATCTGCAGTTCAGTTAATGCAGAGGCAGTTAGCATGAATTGTGTGGGATGCTGGAAAACAGAAAAAATGTTTAAATGCATGACCTCTTCATTCACACATGGTACACTTGAAGTTGCAAGTTACAATAGTTCATGTGGACAATAAATAACTATAAGGAGTGCCGATAGTTTTCACATTATTTCATGCTCTCGGCAAAAGGCAGGAATCAAATGTCCTCAAGGCTCATCACAATGGTTGTGTGGCCACAAACCCTTTTACCACGTGTTGACATCAATCATTTGTTGGAGGAAAAAGAGATGAATACTGTACCTATGCAATCAACATGTTTTTTTCTTTGCAGTTCCTGCAGCCATTTCACTTCTTTCACCCTTAAATTATGTTTGAGCACTCAATGTTTAATTGAAAACACATTCATGTTTATTCATTATGCAAATTGACAAAATGTGACATCATTGTAAGGGAGTGAAGAACTTTTTTGCAAGGCACCATACTGTACATGTGGTCATTTTGAATAATGGGGAACGATTGCACAAAACACATTTCTCATCCATTTCTTTTGGCAATCAAAATGTAGTAAACTACTGTAAGTATTGTAATTATCCTGATAGACTGTACTGACAATGCATTGTTAAAAACTGTAACACAGAGACTCAATTTTCAGTCAATGCTGTCTTTTTATTTTCTTAAAAAAACAAAAATATGTTTAAACACATTTAAAATGTAACCACTTGGAAGCAAAGTGCTATCCCAAGTTGACAGTGATTCAAAAATAAAGGAAAAATGTATCAGTTAATACTAAAAATGTTACAGAAATGCTTGCATGGAGTAGAAATGGCATAAGATCACTATTAGCTACCAGAAACAGAAGACAAATACATTGCAATAAAATAGACTGCCAAGTGCTGGGATATATATATATATTTGTTCCATTTGTTTGTTGAGAAAGGAAAATATAGGCTTCTGGTTGCCTATTTTAACTGCTTGTTCATATAATCACCTGCAAAAATACCAAGAAAAGTATAACTGACATATCTTGACAACTTTTTAAAAAAGTACACGTATTGAGCTCTAATGTACATTTGACAAAGACTGAGAGGTCACTATTTGTTACAAATAGTTATCAAAAGAAGCCTTTATTTTTTCTCATTTCTGCAAGACGCTTCAACAGGAAAAACAAAAAACATGGCCTTCCTGTTTCCAAAGCTTATTTATTTTCCGTATAAAAAAATAAAAACAAAAACAACCACTGAAAATATACACCAAGAAATTAAAACTTAAAAGTTAAAATATAAAAGCATTCAAAATAAACTTGAACCCCAAAAAAACTAATCGGCATTGATCCTTTTGCACCATTTTGTTTTAACTAACAGAGGTTTGAGTGTCCGTTTCCTTGACAACACATGATCCCTCTATGTTCTGCGTGGCAATGTAGTCTGAACAGGGTGTGTGCCAAGGTGAAAACAAGGGGGGGGCATGCTTTCTAGCCAAATGTGGATAAAAATATCTAGTGTGCCAGGCAGAAGGAGTGCTGTAGAGGGCAGTAGGATGAAAAAAACAAAAAAACTGAGGTGTTCGTAAACAGCTTAGACACAGGCATGTGCGACTGTGAGAATCCAGGAATTTGTACTCTTCAAAACAGGTGGCGAGTTTGTGGCTGTGAGAACGTTGATATTTTGTTGGGTTTTTTTTTGTGTGCATACTGTGTTCAAGTGAGGGTCAGAGTGTGATTGTCTTTACAGTTCAGTGTCTCTAAAGCAGTGACTGCAGGATGAAGAACGTTGTCAATGCTCTGGGTTCCTCTTGGGGTGGACTGGGCCATTTGGGTCTAGCAGGCTTCCATCTCTAAAAGGGGCCCCGAAGCTGCTGCCTTCGCTTTGCACGTGGAGAAAGTGTTTCGTTTTCCTCCTGGGAAGAGCAGAGAACAACACTAAAGCCAAGCTTACAGTCAACACAGTCTCAACTCAATACAGTCCTCATTTATTTGCTGCATAGAATCCAAATTCTAAAGCTGATGAACATCCCTTACTGGACTTCGAGCATGCAAAATTGTTCTTCAGTCTGTTCCTGATGAGATATTTATGTGCAGGAGGTTTGTGGAGACACAAAAAATTAATACTTTTTGATCACACAGAAAACAGGTTTTGAAAGACAGTATTTTAAGATACTTCTGTTCCCATTACAGCACCATAGTATTACCATAGGTTCTGTTGTTCCTATAGTAATACTAATCTTCATAGATAAACAGATGTTCTGTTAGAGCAAAAATAAAATGTACAGAAATTAACAGAAAGATTACTTCTGCAGCACAGTTTCTACCTGTAGAATGGCAGCATATTCACTCTGAAGATAACCACAGTCTTTATAGTTTATTCAGATGAACGGTATGAACTAGAAATAATCGCATGGAATTACACTGTATCCTTGGCAAAAACCTGCAGCTCACGGTGGTAAGTAAAGCACAAAACAAACCCATGGGAATGAGCCATTTAAGACGATTGCCAGTCATGCTGGAAGTTCATTTTAAGTCTCTCACTGCATGGTTGTGCTCCTCATTGGTATCTAGCATTTTGCATTCAGTCTCTGTTGACAGTTTCCCAAGTTTAACACTATATAGATAAAACTTTCATCTCTGTAGTCTGCAGGTCACTCTGACACATAAGGTAATCTCCTCCACTGTGGTGCAATTTCTAACTAAATGTTTATCTCTGCTACCCTGCAGTTGAATATTTGGCAGTTACCATACAGAGAAGAGGGGAAAGTAAAACTCACATTTCCAGCTTTCCGAAATAAAGCAGACCAACAAAGCAAGATGATTTTAAATTCCCTAAGCAAAAAAAAAGCTATGCAACCAAAAATAGTTTTAAAATGGCTAAAAGCATGTATTCATACGTACTGAAGCTTGTTTCAGCATGGGTTGTAAACTAGTGCAAGTGATGTGCGCTATATACTGTATATAAAATATTAAAAAAGCTTAATTTCACAAAGAAAGTTCACAAACCAGCCATACTTTGTTTAGTTATAAGGACATCAGAGGGTTGGTAGTACAGATCATAATATTCAAAATACAATTAGATTTTGCTTACCAATATGCAAAATTATGCTACAATTTCAAAACTCCAGGGAAAAGGAGAAATCTCGGTATTGACAGTAAACTCTTTTGTAATTCAAAATTGAGTTTTTTCCAAGCTTTGTGCAAGACCAAAAACAAAGACCAAAGCGACGCTCAGGCAGTCGCTTGGGAGAACCCGAAACTCGATCTCTACTTCTTGACATTTCAGTGAAAGCCTCCCGACTTCCCACCCCCCACCCCTCCTCAGTTCCCGTCCAGACGGCTTTGCCACATGTGGATGAAAGAGGCTGAGGAGAGCCGCCTTTCCCAGGGAGAGCTGACCCCGAGCCGCGGAAAACGGGGCAGGCAGTGCCGGTGAGAGCACCCTGTCGCTTTTATTTACCTCCTCTCCCCTTTTCATCCCAGGATTTCAAAGCCCTGCTCTGACCGGCTCTTCCTGGGAAGGTTTTTCCTCTCGGCCTCAGATGAAAACACTGGGCTTCCTGTCGAGGAAGAAGGCTGTGAGGGGGGGTGGGGGGCGCCAGTCCAGGCCTTCACAGCCTCTCGGACACAAACGCCGGGATTCAAGAGCTACTCCCCATTAGCACTCAGGAATGCCGACTGGACGAGGAGGAAATGAAACACTCTTCTGTTTCAAGGGCTGGCTTCTCCTGGCCAGGGCGGCGGGCTGTCTTTGAAGTGTGGGAGGTTAAGATAACTGGCCCGGCCCTACGGTTCTCAATCGTGGCCTTCATCTCCGACTACAAATCAAAGGGTCGCAGCTGTGCTGCTCTCCTGCCTGCACTCTTCTCCCCTCGGCTTGGGTCTCTTTCAAACTCGTACGCTTGAAAAAAACATTTGAAAATTTGCTTGCAGAAAAAAAAATCTAGCAGCAGGAAGTAATAAAATTGAACAAAATAGCGTGCTATTGGCTACATCTTTTAAGCTTTCTGCAGACGTTATAGCTGAATTAAGTTATTGAGTGAATCGAATTCTGGTGTCGCAAAAAAGTCTTGGATAGGAGGTTACAGAGAATATTTCCTGATGTAAAGTTTCAAAATCAGCTGTGCAGCAGCTCTCGTCCTTTAGGTATTTCTTATGAGCTGATCTCAAACTGGTCAGATGATTCTGAAGAGACCAAGTCAAGCTGCACTTTAGCAGCTATGCATCCTGTTTTAATTAAGGCAGCACTACCTAATTATATATCTTTGTTTCTGCACCGATAGGAAAAAAGGAAGATTCTAATTAGAAATTACCCCCATAACTTCCTTAAATATGGAAATGAAATATGACCTCACTAAATGCTTGTTACCCCAACCATCTTAAACTGTGTCTTGGGAGATCAGTGGGGTGTTGAGAGTGCCATGTTTGTAGTAAAATCTGTGGTGGATCACTTGCAAGGCTGTCTTCTTAAGGAGTGCTCTATGGTTTAGCAGTGTATATAGTGCATAGAGAAATCTGATGCAAAACAACATCTATTCCCTTAACTGTGAAAAGTACCTGTCCCATTGGTAAATGCTGAAAACAAAAGACTAAAGAATTGCTCTTCTGACTTTTACTATTCTCTGTGTACACTTATGAAGATTATAGAGTTTCAGTGTCTTTATTATACTACATAATAAACTGTATGTGAAAGACCTGTTGCCTGCTGGGAGGAATCCGAAAACTATCATTCTTGCTTATAAATCCATCAGCATTTGGCTCTCCTGAACGACAAAACATCTGACTACGTCACGAACAGCAGATTCTTAGGAAGCCTAAATACAAAACCAGGCGTCCAACAACACATTCCTTTTACAGGTTTTTAAAGTAACTTTTCCCTTTTCATTAGTTAACTTTTAACATTCTTCCCTTCACCCAGAAAATAAAGTACAGTAAGTAACGTGTATTTGTTTTACCTCCGTTAGGAACATAGTTTGAGGGGGGAAAAGGTTGAAACTCCTCCTGAAAAACTGGGGGGGAACAAAACAAAGCCGGACTGGAGACTTGGGAGTGTAAACACCCCTCAGCTCCTCAGCAAGCGAGAACTGTGCAGACTAGTTACATCAGGATCCCTCCAAGAAACCACAGACATGTGCTGAAGAGACTGGGGATTGCCCACATCTGAGACATTGCTGGGGGCCACAGCTGAAGTCTAGCCAAGCCAGGCATGCCCCTGCACGGCCTGATCCGCAGGCCAGGGCGGCACAATCAAAGGATCACTGTGACTGCTCCCTCTGCTGTGGTTAGGCTTCAAAGAAACTGCTGTGAGTCGCAGATTTCAGGGAAGGAACAGGGAGGGCGGGGGGGGGGGGGGGGATTCAGACTGCATTGACTGTAGGAGCCAGAACTTCTCCCAAAAAGACCTCCAGTACAAACAGAACAGACCTCACAGTAAACAGCTGACTGCGAGCTGCCTCCCACCCTCTCCCTCCCTCTACCTGGACACCTTTCTTCCAGACGCCATAATCAAAGGAAGACTACATTAACAATGGCAGACCGCAACCAGTGATGCAGGTCAAGTAAAAACAGAAAAAAAACAGACCCTCTGGATGCAACAGGGGAAGCAGAGGAAGTGGCACAGGAAGCAAAAAAAAAAAAGCACAAGGGAATACACTTTTTGTGCCAATCTCCTACCATTTCCTTCACCGCTTAGCTGGGTTTGCGTGCACCAAGTCCATGATTCGTCAACAACACTTTGTAAAGATGTAATTATTTAATAATTACTTTGTAGAGATGTAATTAAAAATGTCCAAGGCAAAAAAAAAATCTTTGTTTAACAAGCTTGGTTGCTTTCATGGTCTTAGTTGTTACTCACATCACCTATTACAGTAAAGGATAACTGTGCACCATAGTTTTTACAGTGAGGAGCCATATTTCAACATGCCACATACGGTACACGTTTAAGAATGCATTTCAGTTACTGGAATCAACACCACAGTCACAGAAATTCTGCCCGTAGGCATATGTATCTTGACCTATCCTTTTTTTTTTAAATAGAACTTTCCATGCAATTTCACAATGGATGAAATTGTTGAGTTTACTTCTATTGTGAAGTAAAAATACAATATAAAATGTTAAAAGACACATCTTCACATGTATACCGTTACACTGTGAAACATTTTCTTTAAAAAAAAATAATTGTATCATTTTATAATCCACAGGACAAGCTTTCCAGTCCACACCACATACTGGGTGGCTGAACCCACTTCACTTTATGTCTCATCCACATGCAGTGGGATATTTTATAGAAACGCCTTGGCTTGTCCTATATTAAAGCTTACCAATACATAGGTAATCACTGACAAACCTAATTCATAAAACATCCCAACTATTTTAATAAATTCAAACCGAATGAATTCCATCATTCATTCCACAACAGGCAAAACAAAAGACTGTTACACTATTCAAAAATCTATTGCCAAAAGAGGGGGCATGCTGTGGGAAGATTTGATATTCCATAAAATATATATATATATTTTTTTAAGTAACTCACTTTTCAGGCTAAGAGGTAGACTACAATATTTTGACCATAAATGATCCACGAAAATCCACATAAGGAGAAAGAGTCCATAAAAAACAAAACAAGAACAGCTAAACGTCTATGGATGTTTCTTCTGAAAAAAAAAAAGTTTAGAACACATACATTTTGCTTTGCCTTCCTTGCTAACACTATCTTCAAACTGGGAACAGACAGGGGCTTAAACATCCACAAATAAGAAGAAACCTACCAAGAAAAGACTGGAGTCTGGAGAAAATTTGAATAATTGTGGGAAACGAAATGCAAAGTACCAAGACATACAATTGACCACAATTATACCCAGTGGTTGTAGGCTCCCTGACAGTTTCAAATTCCAACATAACGTTTAAAACCATG